ATATTGCAAGTGTGTGACCGCGACTTTCTTCGTCGCCGCATAATACAAGAAATCCATAAACTGTGAAATTTTTATTAACATCAGAACATGCTAAAGAATATAGAACGCACCTGTGTTTTTGTTTCGGAGGAAACATTCAACCTTTTAGTCGATTTCATGAGTTTCAACTTGGCGTTTTTAACCTTTGAAGTACAATTTACCTTTTTAAGTCAATTTATCATAATTATTCATCAATAAAATTCACCTCAAGAGCGGCTTGATGAGCGAGCTCGCAGTGTGAAAAAGCAAAGAATGAAGTATATCCTGCCATGAAGCTGATAAAAGCAAACGTTTCCATTTCAAAGTTCGAGCCTGCTAGTTGGTATAACGAAAAGCAAATCACCAAAATGGCTACAGAAATAAGTTAATAATTTTCCCAGTAAATAAAATTTCTCTCACCAAAAATTAGAGGCACCAAAGTCGCACCCACATTTCCTGTACTTAAAAGAATTCGATCTAAATTAATCATGATTTGCTTGTAGTCATTCAGGAGATTTGCTGTTGAACTTTCGTCCAGTGTTCGGGCCCACGTCTGACAAATAAAAATTAGAATTTACTTTAATTTAATTCATTATTTAAATCTACATCAAACAGTTGAGTTAAGATTCTGGCCGAACTTGAAATTCCTTTGTGCATAGAAAACCACCAATTCAACGTCAACAGACTGAAAGGCATTCCAACGCCGTTTGAATATCGGAAATAACAAGGGCTGCTTTCAAAGATGGAAGGAAAAATGAGTACAAAAACGAACGTGGAAATGATCATGATCCAAATATTCCTTTTTGTAGACCTCTCTAGGCCAAGCTGGATTTTTCCAATGTCAATTTTGTGTTTTCCGTAGACAAATCCAACTTGTTCCTTTATTAAAAAAAAAATATGATTTTAAAATAAACGGAATTATTTTAATAAACCAGAAATTCGTCCATTTGATTGCAGAAATCGATGACGGCCTTGCACTGAAGCAAGAATAAAAGCGGAATGAAAGCGTAGACAATCGTTTCCGTCAATTGTAAATAGGACAAGAATGGGAAAGTACTTGGAGATTTTAAAATAATCTAAAAATTTTGCTTAAATTAATCATGGGTATGAAGGCAATACAAATATGTACATTTATGATGTCGAAGAAGCCGCAAAGATTTAGTACAAAATTCATTATGATGATAAAAACTGAATAGGCGACGCTCCTGAAGTTTGTATTTAAAACCATTTTGCCATTTTTGCGGTTGAATTTTGCAGGAAGCCATCCTAGAAATGAAATTAAACGAAGGAATTGAGATATTTCCGAGGAGAATGTGTTCTTGTTCATTCTTCTGCATGAGTTTTACTATTGCTTTGAGCATTAATTGTAATGGAATTGGTCTTGTACGCCAATCCATTAAAAAAGTTCATCTGGTTATTTAAAATCAATCAATAAAAACATACAAGCACATATTTTCTTAATACACTTGCCTTGTACTGAGGAGAGCGCAGAATTAAATAACAAAACGGAAACGGGGAAACAATTGATGTTGGATGTTTTAATAAATAAATTGACTAATCGTCGCGTGACATGTCCCTGTTTCTCACTTTTGTGAGTAACAAAAATGCTGAAGTTTATTATTATTATTGATGCAATGGCCTCGCCGAATGTGTTTGTGTCCGAAATGTGGCCCGTTTTTCGATTGTTGGACTGGATCGGTTGGCTTCCTGTCCGTGTCAACCCGGAAAAAGAGGGACATTTGATTTTGAAGACCGATTTTGGAGAAATTCTTTTCACTTTCATAATTTGTGCTGTTCACGTTTCCTTGTTTATTCCACCGTTGGCTCAAAATTACAAGGTATGAAATTTTTCAATAAACTGGAAAATTTTAAATCAATTTGAGTAAAGATTTCCTACGTCAACGGAGATGTAATGGTGTTGCCGCTTTTGAAATTATTTGCTGGTATGGCGGGGATTGCCTATCCTATAACTTATTCGGCTCAAGCACATTCGGTTGTGACTTTCAGCAATAATTTTTACGATATTCAGGTTGAAGTTTAAATAATTTACAAATTTTTGTTAACTAATATAATTTTTCCAGACCTTCATTAATTGTTCTCAACAACGGAGCGTCCCTGTCCGGTTAGGTCTTCGAAAGTTTGCCAATGCCACGCTAGTTTGCGCGTTTGCTCCGTTTTTCTTGGTTCTGGGATTGAAATCGGTAATATTGGGACCTCCAGTTAATTTCTTGTGGAGTCTCGTCGTCTGTATTTGTTTCTTCGCGCCCATCTTGACCTTGATGTGGGTCTTTTGCATTAATAGAGCAACGGCGAAACTGTGCAATGTTGTTTTGCAAAAATTCTTGGTATGTGTTTTCAATGTTAAAAAAAAAAATGTAATAATTATTCTTAGATCTGCTGCAATAACGAGAAATTTGCGTGCATGGAAACGAGAGAAACGAAAATTAAAATATTCAAGGAAATTTGGCTCAAGTTACACCGGCTTGTTGCCTATTTAGGAAACGTAACTTCCCTTTCCACATTCCAGCCGTTGCTCGCCGCTTTTGTGATCTTCATCTTTTGCATTTACGAGTTCGCCGCCGGAAACCTCCTGCTTGACGCTTTGATTTTCTCAATTTTTATACAGTTATTTGGGCTAGGAATCGTCCTTGCAGTTTGCGAAAGCGTTAATAATTCGCAGTCGCAGGTAAATAAATTTTGAGATATAAATATTTTATTAAATTAATAAATCATTCGAAGTTCAATCTCGCAATTGCAAGGGCAATAGAAGTAACCAGACGGATTCAGGACAGAGATGCGGATATGATCAAAGTATTTTTATTTTTATTAGATTTTATTTGTAATTAAAAAAAAAAACTAAAAGTTTTTACTCCGACTCCAGAAAAAACCTCCGAAGATCACATTAAATGGCTATTTACCCATCAACCGCTCTTTTTACACGCAGGTCAACCAAATTAAATGACATACCGAATTAATGTACTTAAATTAAATATTTTTACAGACAATTCCAGGACTAATTTCAATTTGGCTTGTGCTCCTTCAGTCTGGATTGAAGGCTAAACCAATTCGTTTTGAAGACTTTTTTGATTAGAATAAATAAAAATCAATTCTGTTTGTCTTGAAATTTATCAAATTTATAATTTGCACAATTGGCTGTCGTTTCTCTCGATCAATCGTACTCGACCTTTCACTTTCGTTTCAAATTTCGATAATGGAGCAGCGACCCATCAATACCCCCCGAAATGAGTGTCAGACCTTTTCACGATGCCATCGAGCGGCCGCTTTTTGGCTGAAATTCGACCCATTCTCAAACTTCTCGGCTTCTTAGGATGGTTTCCCGCTCGACTCGAAAAAAACCACCGTCTGAATTTGCGAATCTCCTTTTTGGAAAAACTTTACGCCGTCTGCTTATTATTCGTGCAAGTCGCGATTTTCCTTCCGGCCATCATTTCCAATACCAAGGTATTGTGACGCCTGCTTATTTCAAAAGTATGCAACCGGCTCGACCTATTTCCAGGCACTTGCTTCGTCCGAGGAGGGAATGCTGATTGTCACTACCATAAAATTAGGCGCTGCTGTGATGGGTGTGGGAATTCCTGTTTTCTTTGCTGCCCAAGCAAACCAGTTTGCTAATTTCTGCAACCGTATCTGCGATATTGAGGTATTTTTTCTTTTAATTAATTTCCTGAATTAAATTTGTTTCAATGCACAGGATGGATTAAACCAGGCCTTTTCTAACAAATTTAAAAGCGATTACGGTTTAAAATTATTTGGAAAAGCAGTAATTTTCAGCTACCCACTGTCGTACATTTGCATATTTTTAGGAAAATCCATCTTTTTCGGATTTCCAAGAAACATTGTATGGAGCGTTGTTGTGAGCTCGTTATTTTCACAACACTTCTTGACTGTTTCGGTTTTTGTTTGCATCAATAAGGCCGTCGGAAGACTAGCAAACGTTTTTATGCATCTTTACAAAGTAAGTAAAAATTAAAACTTTTCCTAGAAAAAAATTGTAATATTTTTGAAGGATTTTTGCTTTTCAAAAAATGTTACTCCAAAGGAAAAATACTTAATTCGAGAGTTGTGGCTGAAAATCCACTCACTGGCCATGGATTTGGGAATTGTCCTGTCCCTGGCCGTTTCGCAGCCTCTGATCGGATCGATCTTCACCATGATTTTCTGCATTTATTATTTGTCCTCCGGATTTCTTCATTTGGAAGCGGCAGTTTTTATTGGTTTTTTGGGCTCGTTCACTTTGATCCTCACTTTGGTGCTCATCGAAAGTGCTAATTATTCAGTCAAAATGGTTAGTTTTTAACCTAAAATTAAGATGAACATAAAAATAAATAATTTTTTAAGGTAACAAAAGCGCTGGAATCTGCAATCGAAGCCACTAAAGGGCCACGTGAGGTTGACGAGGAGATGGTTCATGTGATTCTAATAAATTTCTATGATTCAAGTTTGAATTTAACTTCCGTATTCTGCAGTTTCTGGTGCGCTTAAGGAGAATAGAATTGGAAATTTCTTTCAACGGATATTTGATAATTGGCCACTCATTTTATTCCAGAGTAAATTTATTATTATTATTATTTTTAATTTTCACAAAATTATTTAAATATACGCAGATTGTTCCCGAATTCATTTCAACTTGGATTGTGCTGCTGCAACTGAACATTAAAGTGCGACCAGTGACAATTTACGACTTTTTAGAGTAAAATTTTAGATTTTTGAATTGACAGCAGATTGAATAGAATGATTTATTATAAAATACAAAAATGTCCTCTTCAAATAAAAAAGTAAAAATAATTATATCCAGCGTATCTACTTTTATTTTTCATGAAGATAAAAAAATGCAAAATAAAAGAACAGAAATGAAAATAAAATGCAAAAAAATAAGGCGAAATATGACGCGCAACGTGCAGTTCCGGAGTAGCAACAGCTTCCGTCGTGCGACATTATTATTTTCCAATCGGCCGCTGGTTTTGTTTCAGAATGGACGCAAATATTCAAATCACATTTATTATCCTAATTCATTTGGTATTTTATAAAAATTAAGCTGCAAATCATATTGTAAATAATTAAAATAATGTTTTCCTCAGTTTTTCACTGGGTTCAGCAAACGTTTTGATGTGAAAGAAGCGACGTTTAAGCTAAAGAAATTCGCGCAAGTCGTGAATGATAAAAGCAAACTGTGCAATTTTATCAATCCGTCGGTCTCTTCAGCAGCCCCACAACAATGTACTTTACCAAATAAATCTTCCGAAAGCATGACTCTGGGCAAACAGCCAGCGTACAAGGAATGTGCCATGCGATGTTTATTGACAAAAGGTCCAAAAACTCCAAACGTTTCCAGAGATTTTCAGCCTGTTTTCGACAATGACGTTCGAAAGGAATTCATCAACTGCAACCTCAGGGTTTTTGGAGATAAAATTTTAAACAATCACCTAAATTTTCTTGAATCTCCAGGAAAGGTCTGTCAGTCCGGAATGCAAAAATTCAAGTATGTAAAAATAATTAAAATCAACTGAAAAAAAAGCACTTTTTGAATCTAGTAAATATGGGTTTACTCAACAAATTTGGAACATCTCTTGCATTTTTCGTCCAGGAAAAGGTTTAATTGAAATTAAGTAGCCAAAAGTTGAAACTTTTCACTTATTAAATTTATAGTTGAGCTGGTTTGATGCCCAAAAGCGTTGCAATTCCATGGGTCTCACCCTAGTCACTCTAGAGACTGCAGGAAAAATACAAAATCTTGGATATTTTCTGAAGCGAATAGGTAAAAATAAAAGTTAGATTTGTTAATTATTACTTTTTTCATTGTTATAAAAAAAGGAAAATCTGGCATGTTTTCTCTCTGGACGAGTGGTTCAAGTTTGCTAAAAAATGCAACGCATCCATATTTTTGGTACGACACGTTCGCACCTTTGGGCCCAGAAATTTCCATCACCGAAAAGCTGGAATCGGGTCAAAATTACTCATGCGTTGCAATTACAGTTGTCACGTATAAAATAACTAAATTTGCTTCATCAAATATTTATCAATTTTCCAAAGGGATCGCACAAATGTTGAATGGACCAAGGAAAGCTGCAAAACGGCACGGTTCAGTTTTGTATGCGAAATCCCAAAACTGTGTTTTTACGAAAAGTGTAAAAACAAGGCCAGACTAAAAAGTGGGCTCGTCAGTCTGCCGCTGGTCAGCGAACCTTGCTCCCCGAAAAAATGCAGACCCTGTGTAAATTTTCTTCTTTTATTTTTAAATAGTTTTAAAAATTAGAAAAAATTTCAGCCTGCCAAAAAGCCAAAAACTATTGAAGGTTTGGAATTTTTCGTTTAAATTTTGTCCAGATTATTTGAAATTATTTGCCGCAGTTAATGAGAAGACCGGACGGTACTTCAAAGTGAACGGGAAGCAGTATTTCCGCAGCCACGACAGAGTAACCAAGGCAATCAAAATTCCATATTTTCAAATTATAAAATTTTTAGAGAGGAGCAGATGACGCAATTTCAATTTGCTGTGGTTTGGGAATGAAACTCTGGTCCCCGTCCACGGCCGAAGAACTCGATTTGGTTTTTGACGAACTCGAGCGGATTGGTCTTGCATTTAAATTAATTCTAATTAAAAAAATTATATATCAAATTTCCTTAAACAGGCTACGATTTAAATTTCACTGCCATTCACGTTGACGCGCGAGACGAGAACTGCAACGAGCAGTTCATGATTTGCGACACTAAAGAGTTTGTCAGCGCCGATTTTAAGTGGCTGCCCGCGCAGCCGGATGATTGGACGGTCAACGAAATGTGCCTAATCTACACTGTGGTCGCCGGCGTGCGAGGACTGGTCGACACCACGTGCCACTACAAATATTACTTCGTCTGCAAAGTATTTAATTCAAATTTTAAAACAACAAAAAAATTTAACAATAAATTTTAACTTCAAAGGCAGACGAGAATAATCCAACTGTTGATAAACAAATTTCGTAAACTTTGAATTTAATATTAAAATTTATTTTTCAAACTGAATTTTTTTAGAACGGAAGTCAAGAGATTTAAGCCCCATTGCTTCAAAACTCTTGCAGAATGCAATCCCTCAGTCATGTGCAATGTATGAACATTTTTTTTTTATTTGTAGTGTAAAAAAATCTTTTTGACAGCCAGGGGCGCCGGTTAATCCCCCTTGTAGGTCATAATAATTAAAAGAATGACTAAATTTCCTTTCAAAAACTAAAAAAAGTATCTTCTGGACGTTTGTTTGAAGGATGTGGAGGGAAAAAGTATTTCTTCGGAAACGACTCTGTAAATATTAACAAGTCAAAAATATCAAATTCAATTTAAAAATTTGCAGAAAACTCCCGACCAAGCGGGTCAGTTTTGCTGCAAAATCGGGATGCATTTGGCGGTTCTGGAGACGTGGGAGGAAGTCCACTGCGTCAGGGATTTAACCAAAAGTATAGAATTTAATTATTTACAATCATGTTAATTATGAAAATTTGAAGATTACACGATATTCGAGATGCGTTTCAACATGTTGTGGTACGTTTCCGGCTACGAGGACAAATGCGACGGGACGACGCCCAAATATTGTGCAACAGGGAAGCCTGTGCTCAACGATTACCCCTGGTTGCCTGGTGAACCGGACAATAAAATGGCCCCGGAGAAGTGTTTCGCCCTGGCCTTGTCTCCATTTGTGTCGGGAATCACCGACTTTGGTTGCATTTTTGGCAGATCATTTATCTGTGAATCATTTTAGTTTCATTAAATAATTTAATTAATTAATCGCAGTATTTCTTTCAAAAATTTGGGATTCAAATACATTTAATTTATAAATATTTTTTCATTTCTCTCAAAATATTCATAATATAGTAGTTTATAAAAATTGTGATAATATACACAGTTGTTACATTTTTATTATTTAAAATTAAACTTTACTTTTAATTATTTACATATATATTTACAATAATATTTTAATATTTTTCTGTGAAGGATTCTTTCGAATTTTGAAGTCCTTTTATAAATCAGTCGATTCTGCTGAACTCTTTTTATTCTCCATTTCCGAAATCTGACTTTTGTCACTCAAACTTTTCTTTCGACAGCACCTAGATGATAGTTTTTCAAGCCAAGGGTGCTGTCGCTTTAGCGAAATCCAAACCTAAAATTTTTTCAATTTTTGTAGCCTCTTAAATTTGCATAAAATTATTCCTCACCTTTTCTTGAAAGCAGAAAATGACGAACAGTAAAATTGCGCGCAAGGTGATGACGAAAATTGAGATAAAATAGTAAAAGGAAAAGTCATTGTAAAACCAAGATATACATTCTGGAATGTATGTCACGCACAGCAGAATGGAAAATGTTGCGAAGAGTTTGAATCTGCAGATTTAAAGTATTAAAATTTAAATATAAAAATAAACCCGTTTGAAAATACTTTTCTGAGCGAAATTTGAGATTTGTTTCTTTTATGGTGTCTTCGGATCTGTTTAGAACTTTTTGATTCTCTCTTCGGAATAATTCGATTTGTATCACTGTTTTGATGAAAAGAAAAATATTGATCAGCAACGCGATGCCCATTGGTAGGGAAAAGTAGAGTCCGCGGCTGAAGGAGGCTGAAATTGTCAAAAGTTCGGCATTTTTTTTTATACTAATAAAAAAGCATACATCTGAACCAACAAGAGGCGTCATCGAAAGCTGGCCAGACGACCCACGAGGGCAGACTTGTGCTGTCCGCGAACTGAGCCCAGGCCATGAACGCCGAAATCAGGGCTGGCACCCCCAGAGCGTAGAGGGCGTAAAGCGGAAAACTGCTTTTGCGCAGCGACAATTTGCTCAACATCGAATCCAGGGATCTATTTTGTGTCAAATTCGTAATTAATTTAAAAAAAAAGGAATTAATCAAACCTAAACGTGCAGTAAATTATTATTGCGCGAACGTTTAACCAGAAAAAGGAGGAGACAAAGAAAAAGTGCGACAAAATTCCTGAAAAAAGAAAACTTAATTTAAATTTCTAGATTATTTTGAAGTTGGCACCTGAAATTATGCAAACGTTGGTGTCCTGAGACCGAGCTAGGGGTCGGAAGGCCATCGAGAGGTAGGCACTGAACAGGCAAATGCAGTGGGCGATGATGATGAGTCCGCTGATGTCCTGACGCAGGTCTTTGACGATCAAATGGACGATCAGGGTGATGAGAGTGAAAAAAGCTCCGACGCCTGCAAAAAAACTAATGGCGATGGCGTCGTTGTTGGAAATTCTGTTGTACTCGGTGCGGTCACAGTGCATGGCCACGGTCCTCAGCTCACCCCGAACCGTCGCCTCGGCAAGGCAGTAACTCCACCGATTGGCCGTAGATCTGTAATTTCTTTTTATTTAATAGAAAGAAGAAAAAAGGAAAAAAATACCTTCTAGATTTTAAAACTCCGAATTCGTTGATTTCAAAATTAGTTATAATTTCCGGCCGTCTTGCTTTTGCGTAATCTTTTCTAATAGAAAGAAAGCAATTCTCCATGTACTGACGCAGACTCAGGTGCAGAAATATCTCAGGTTTCAGGAAATTTCTTTTTATTCTCAAGTCCTTCGCCGTCCACGGTGTCCAGCTACTGTCCTCGTCTTGGCATATTTCGTGGAACGATTTCCCAGAGGCCCTATTTTTATTTTGGATAAATTGAATTATTATTTATTTTTAAAGTTTTATTAAAACCTTTCGATGTGAAGACGTTTTCCGTGGGGGCAGCACCGCGTAATGCAGTTTTCGTGAAGACAAGGGCAGGATAAAAGGACCCATTGTCTACTAGACTGGCCAAGAACTGCATCCAGACACCATTGTTGGTATGTTTGGTTGGACACGACGATGCTGCTTTTAGAAAGTTTTATATTCGTGCTTCGGTCAATCTTGACCGGACGAGCTACGTCTTGCAATATTTCAGGGCAAGGTCCGTAATTAAAATCAAACTCTTCTAGAGATGGCACCAGAATTTGATTATCACTACAAATCAGTGAAGAAAATTTGAAATTACAAATTTAAAAATATGTAATAATTTAATCGCTTTATGATTAAAAATTGAAAACGCTTAAAATACACAAAAAAATTAAATCTTTTCTTGATATATTAGCGTTTTTTCCGTCAATTTATATAAAAAAAGTTAAAATTTCTTAGTTTTACCTGAAAATAGTTTCAAATTGGTCGGGAATCCAAGCGATGATCTGGTTGCTTATGACGGCTTCACACTTTCCCGAAGTAAAATTGTAAGCAAGCCTTTGCGGACAACACTTTTGTAAAATTAATTTTGCGCCGACTGCAAGCGTAATTGCAGATAACATGAGCAGCGCTTTAATTTGCATCGCGCCCGAATGTAAAAACCGAGAGAGCAATAAACACATATGTGGGCATTTACTGCCCAAAGTGGTTTCCTCTGCGTCTTGCTGGATTATTTTGCGGTTTTGGTTGGTCATCGGAAGTGTGCGTGAGAGATATTTTATCCGGTTACAAAATCTTTTGATCCACAATTAAACACTCACAAAACTGGCCACCGCAAATATTGCAGTGTTTCCTGTTCCTAAAGATAATTGGAAGTTTTGTGATTATTCAGTCAAGGAAATACATTTTTTTTTTAAACTATTGAATGGAAAATACTTCAATTTCAAAAATAATAAATACTGATAAATTAAATTTAAAAATTATTTGCTTTTTATAAACAACTGATAAAAATTTCTTTAATTCATTTATACATCTCCATAGGTCTTAAATTTTTTATAATTACCGTCATTATTGCAACATGAAATTTCCAAGCACAAGAAATTTAAAATCCAAGCGTGGTGGGTATTTAATTTCCTATGTTATTTCCCGTGACATGAACAATTCTAGTTATGTCATGAAATTTCGAGTGAATACAGCAGAAAAACTTTACATTGCGGTCATAAATTAAATTGTGTAATTCACGTGGAAAGTTCAAAGGCGAATATCGTTTTTAAACAATCAATAAGGATTGAATTTTTTATTTCGCTGTAAAATGATTTATATAAATTAATTGAAATTTTTACAGTAAAAAGCAGAAAAAATTATGCACAATATTTTAAATCATGTCATTATTTGCATGAGCGTGTTTTGGTACTTCTAAATTTGTAGAGTCCGTAAGGGTCGATTTATTTAGGCCTTTCGCTTTTTCCTTTCGAAAGCATTCCCGAGTCCATGATGCTAATTGGCCAAGTGAACGGTACTGCCTTCTTGCAGACAACCAAACCTGAAAATGAACCCAATTTTCACACAACATTTTTATATAATTTTATTTCTCTCACCTTTCTCCTGCAGCAGAAAATCACGAATAAAAGAACTGCGCGCAACGTGAGCACAAAGATTGATAAGAAATAGAAGAAGGAATACTCGTTGTCAAACCAAGCAATGAATTCTGGAAAATAAGTCACGCACAGCAAAAGTAAAAACATTCCAAAGTGCTTCAAGCTGCAGATAAAGACAAAAATAAAATATTAAATGGATAAATTAGAAAAAAATATACTTTTTTGTATCGAGTTTGAATATTTCTTTCAGATTGTTGCGGTTGCTTCCTTTTTCATTCAAAACCAACTGGTTATCTTTTCTGAATGACCGAATTCTCGTCACCGTTTTGATGAACAGAAAAATGTTAATCAACAATGCGATGCCCATAGGAAGGGAAAAGTAGAGGCCTCGGCCCAGTGGGGCTGAAGAATGAATGAATTTTTTTTTGTAAATTTAAAAATTGATTTAACTTTTAACTCACATCTGAACCAACAAGAGGCTTCGTCAATGCCTGGCCACACAACCCACCAGGGTAATTTCATGTCGTCTGTAAATTGGGCCCACGCCATAAAGGCCGTGATGAGGACTGGGCTTCCCAGGGCGTAAAGGGCGCACAGGGGAAACGTGTGATTCCGGAAGGATTTGCTCAGCATTGAATCCAAGGATCTGTTTATTATTCAATTTTCGTGAATTTTTAAATTTTTTATATTCAAAAGACCCACTTGAATTTCGAGTAAATAATAATCGCGCGGACATTCAGCCAGAAATATGAAGACATGAAGAAAAAATATGAAAATGTGCCTGAATATTAAAAGTATTTTGTCAATTTAATTCGAATATTTTATAAAATCTGTTACCTAAAATTGTGCAAAGGTTGAATTTCTGAGACCAAGCTAGGGGTCTGAAGGCCATAATGAGGTATCCGCTGAACAGGCAAATGCAGTGGGCGATGATGATCTGACCGCTGATGTCATGGCGAAGGTCTTTGACGATCAAGTGGATGATCAGAGTGATTAAAGTGAAAAAAGCTCCAACCGCTCCCAAGAAACTTATGACGAGTGAATCTTTTTTTGAAATTCTGTTGTAATCTGCGCGGTCACAATACATGGCCACGCTCATCAGCTCACCCTCAACCCTGGCCTCGGCAAGGCAATAACTCCATCGATTGGCTGTAAATCTGTTTAAGATTTTTATTTTGAATGTTAAGAAGGAAGAAAAAAAGATACCTGTAGGATTTCAAAGTTCCAAACTCATCTATTTCAAAATCCGTAAGCAACTTGGGATGTTTCGTTTTTTCGTAATTTTTCCGCACAACGCGAAAGCACATCAAATATTCTTCCAGGGATAAGTTTCGAAAGATCGTGGGTTTCAAAGTATTTTCATTTATTTCCAAGTCTTCAGCTATTTCAGGTGACCAGCTTGAGCCCTCGTCCTCACATATTTCACCAAATGATTCTTTCACAGCCCTAAATTAAAGTAGCGTAAAAATAAAACATGAAATTTATGGAAATTATGAACCTTTCGATGTGAAGACGTTTTCCGTGGGGGCAGCACCGCGTAATGCAGTTTTCGTGAAGACAAGGGCAGGATAAAAGGACCCATTGTCTACTAGACTGGCCAAGAACTGCATCCAGACACCATTGTTGGAATGTTTGGTTGGACACGACGATGCTGTTTTTAGAAAGTTTTATATCCGTGTTTCGGTCAATCTTCACCGGCCGAGCTACGTCTTGCAATATTTCAGGGCAAGGTCCGTATTTCAAATCAAACTCTTCAAGAAACGGCAACATTCTATGGTAGAGATTATTATAGGAAATTAAAAACGACAAAAAGTAATTTCATTGTGGAAATAAATTAATTTACAAGAGCGTTCAGTAACGGATTTGAAAATAACACCAAAAACAAACTTTAACTTGACAAAGGAATTTAAATTTAATGAAACTTGTTTTCCATACCTGATGAATTGAGACTGTTTGGAAGATTTTAACTGGTCAGGAATCCAATCGTAAAACTTTTCACCTTCTACTTTTTCACACTGATCCGATTTCATGTTGTAAGCGTATTTTTCTGGACAGCATTTTTGTAATAAGATTTCTGAGCTGGCAGAGAGGCCGACCAAATAAGTCAGTAGTAGAATTACCGGCGCCAAAAGCATGTTGTTCACTGAAGCAAGAGGAAGAGTAATGTAAAAATAGTCGACGTGTTTGCAGGAATTTGCAACCAGAAGTGGTTTTATCCGTTTTGACGTCTTTTACGTGCGTTTAGAATAACAAGGACGGTCGTTGTATCCGCATTTTAAAACCAGATGATTCAAATTGGAAAAACCATTAAAAAAGCGAGGGCATGAATTTTAAACCATTACATTTTTTATAAAAATCTACTTATACAGAATGTTAAAATGATAAAAAGAATTTTATTAATTATTGCCTATTTTTCCCGATTTTTCTAAAATTCCCATTAAAAGGAAAACAATGAAATGAAACAAATATATAATTTTTATATTTTTGAAGTGCCATGATGTATTTTCAGTCGCAAGCTTCAAAATTATTTGTTCATTTACTCGCACAATGGTATCCATTATTTACTCGCAAATCATATAAACAAATATTTTATAAATACACAAATAAGTCATATTTTACCATAGAAAGTTTTCTGAGTGCAAGGTTATTTCTCTCATCAAACCTTGAAATTAAATTTTTATAATTTATTTGATCAAATATTATCTCTGAAAATAAATTTTATGGGAAGAAAAAATAAAATTTCCCAAATTTTATTTTATTAAAGTAAAGTTTTAAGTCGCCCCTCCTGGATTTGATGAACCGTCTTTTGATTCATCTAAATTGGTCGAGTCTGTTACACTGGATTTATTTTCCAATTCCACAAGCTTCAACATGATCTGTTCACTTGAATTTTTCCTTTTACAGCAGCGAAGGAAAGATATTTTTTCAAGCGAAGGGTACTGCCTTTGAAGAGAAAGCCAAACCTAAGAATAAATTATCTTTGTAAATAACCGATTAAAACTTTGGAAAAAAATCCTTACTTTTCTTCGGAAGCAGAAAATGACAAAAAGAAGAAACGCTCGCAAGGTGATGGCAACGATCGAGGCGAAATAGTAGACGGAAAATCCATAACTGAACCAAGAAATCACCTCGGGAATATACGACAGACACAGCAGAAGTGAAAATGTTGCAAAGTGTTTGAAGCTGCGGAAAAATTTTGATTTTTTTTTTATAGATTAAATTATTTCTGCAAAAAATACTTTTCTGCGTCAAATCTGATATTTCCTTTAATTCTGCTGGCGTTATTCAAAATTGTTCTGTTTTCCCTTTGATATGTTTGAATTTGCACCACCGTTTTGATGAGAAGGAAAAGGTTAATCAGCAAAGCGATGCCCAACGGAAGGGAGAAATAAAGTCCGCGGCCGAGGGAGGCTGTGAAGGAAATAATTTCAAGATTAATTAAAGGATCAAAGAGTTTTGCACTTACATTTGAACCAGCAAGAGGCCTCGTTGAATCCTGGCCACACAACCCACGAGGGCAGATTGTACTCCTCGGTGAATTGGGCCCACGCCATGAACGCCGTGATCAGGGCAGGCACCCCTAAGGCGTAAATGGCGTAGAGCAGAAAACTGCCACTTTTGACCGACAACATGGAATCCAAGGATCTGTTTCAAGGCATAAATTTAACACAAAATGTAAATAATTAAAAATAAAACCTGAACGTGGCGTAAATTACTATTGCGCGGACGTTTAGCCATAGAAACGAGGACATGAAGAAAAAGTGCGAAAATGTACCTGGAAAAATTTAAAATATTATAAATAATCTTGAAATTTATAAATGAAAAACTGAAACTGATTATTTTATAAAAAAAGGACAAATTATGTATTATTAATTTTATTTTTTAATTACAGGGAGAAAATATTGTAGGTCAATATTCTCACAATTTGTCCTTTTAATTTTTTAAAAATTGTAGTAAGTTCTGTTTCAATTTTGAATTTGTCATGAAATGCACTTTTTAATTTTTAATAAAATAACTTTTTTGCCTAATAATGTGCAAATTTCTGCTTCCTGAGACCAGGCCAGAGGTCGCAAGGCCATGGTGAGGTAGGCACTGAACAAACAGACGCAGTGGGCGATGATAATGAGACCGTTGATGTCCTTGCGAAGGTCTCTGCTGATCACGTAGACGGCCAGGGTGAGGAAGGTGAAAAACGCTCCGATCGACGCCAAAATACTGATGGCGATGGCCTTGTTGAAAGAAATGCCGTTGACATCGGCCCGGTCACAATACATGGCCACGGTCCTCACCTCGCCCTGAATCTTGGCCTCGGCAAGGCAGTAACTCCACCGATTGGCCGTGAATCTGCCAAATTATTTTAAACTAAATTGATAAAAACTTGAAAAGATACCTTTTGGATTTTAAGGTTCCGACTTGGTCAATTTCAAAATTAATCACGAATTTCGGTCTTCTCTTCTTCTCGTAGTCTTTTTTCACGGACAGGAAGCAATTGTCCAGGTACTGGTTGACAGACAGGCTGCGGAAGCTCCACGGTTTCAGCGAGTTTTCCTTCAAGTTGAAATTTTTCTGCGGCCACCAGCTGCCCTTGACTTCGCACATCTTATCAAACGACATCCTTGAGGCCCTTTTACGACAAAATTCTCTATTTATAGAAGTTTTGAAATGTTAATAAAAATTTAAACTTTTTGACGTCAAGACGGTGTCCGTTGGGGCAACATTGGGTGATGCAGTTTTCGTGCAGGCAGGGGCAGGACAAAAGGACCCACTGACGTTCTGACGCGTCGAGACGTGCGTCCAGACACCATTGATCGTACGTTTTGTTGAACGCGGAAATGCTGTTTGTTCCTTTGAAAATTATTAGATTTGTGTTGGCGTCGATTTTGACTGGAGCCGCTACGTCTTGCAGAATTTCAGGGCAAGGTCCGTATTTGAAATCAAATTCTAAAAGAGATGGAACCAGTTTTTGGAATTTGCTAAAAATTTAAAATAAAAATAAAATATCAATAAATAAATTTAAAATTTGAACTATATATTTTTAAATTTAAAATAAAAAAAATTCAAGTCTTTAAAAAATTTAATTAAAAAATATTAAGATTTTAAATAAGAAATAGTTGCTTTTTTGTTACCTGACAACCTTCTGGTCTGCATTTTCAAAATGGTCAGGAATCCAATTGACAAACTGGTCGCTTTTGACGACTTCACACTTGCCCGAAGTTAAATTGAAAGCGTATCTTTCCGGACAACATTTTTGTAGGATTAATTTCGAGCCGACTACGAGATTCACTGCAGACAAAAGTAGCAGCACCGTGATATCCATTCCACCCAGCTTTTAATCCTGGGAAATAATTGTATAGGATGCGTTTGAACGCACTTGATAACCAGAAGTGGTTTCTTGTGTGTTTTATCCTTGAATTTTGTATGACAACGGACGTGAAACGGAAAACCGCCGTCTATTTTCTGTCTTGTTTGTTCTGACGATTATAAAAATTAATAAAAATTCAGTTGTTTTTATTTTATTCAAATTTAAAGCATAATTTTTGTAGTGCTTGTAGAAACGTACAATTGCGCAATGAAAGAGAAAGAATAATGATTTTTTTTCAATCATTTTCCATCATTTCCATGGCCTCGTTTGAATAAGCGCCACTCGTTCCTCCCAGTTTGCTTGACGCTGTCGAGCTCTCCTTATTTTCAAATTTGTGCGGCTGAACATCTGGTTGTTGCTTTCGGCAGCAACTGGTCGGCAACAATTTTTCCAGCCAGGGGTACTGCCGCATCAGAGATATCCAGACCTATAGATATAAAATAGATTAATTCTGCTAAAATTTCATTCAAATAATAAAAAACTGACCTTTCGTTTACAGCAGAAAACGACAAAAATGAGGATAGCTCGTAAGGCGATCGCAACGTTCGAGGCGTACCAATAAAAGGAAAAAGCATAATTGAACCAAGCCATAAACTCGGAAATGTACGTCAGGCCCATCAGAAGGGACAATTTGGCAAATAATTTTAACCTAGAAAAAATTTTAAAAATTATTTATTCAAATAACATGTAATTTTGAATACTTTTCCATGTCGAATTTGATATTTTCCTTCACATTGCTGCGTTGACTGTCATCAGCATTCAAAACAACTTGATTCTGCTTTTTAAAGGAACGTATTTTAATCACCGTAGTGATGAAAAGATAAATGTTGGTCGTCAAAACGATGCCCATTGGAAGGGAAAAGTACAAAGCACGGCCCAACGAGGCTGAAAAGTCAATTTAAATTTTATTAGTCAACCTGCTCTGCTCTGAAGCTACGCAGGTTGCATACTCACATCTGAACCAGCACGATGCTTCGTCCATGTCTGGCCACACGACCCACCAGGGCAAATTATTGTCATCCGTGAACTGGGCCCAGGCCATAAACGCCGAGATAAGGGCAGGCACCCCTAAGGCGTAAATGGCGTAAAACGGAAAACTGCGGTTTTGCAGGGAAAGCCCGCTCAACATAGAGTCCCAAGATCTGTTGATCAATCAGAAATGTAAGGATTATTCATTTTGGTTGATCGAATTTTCTACGTCACTCGGAAAGTTACAAAAATTATGCTAATTGGCGCCCTTTTTAAATTGATTAAAACTGAATATTTCTTTTATTTCCGTTCAAACCGATAAAAAGACTGACTTTCTCAACTTTTTCCACAGAAAAGAAGCTTTCAACATAATTTCAAACAAAATTTTCATGACTTTACAGAAAAAAATTTGGAATTAAGTAAAAAAAGTAGTTAAAATTCAGAAATTATTAATTCCGTTTTAATTTTTCAAGCAACATAGTTTTATCTTATCTGATCTTTGCATTTTTACTTAAAAAGCAATTTATGGATACAAATTTTAATATTCCAGTTACTATGGGAAAAATTTCCATGCTTTTGTCGGTTCTAATAATTTTGAAATAAAATTTGTTCTCAAATATCAATAGAAACTCTTTAAGAATAAAGTTCTGATTAGAAAATTCTAAAAAATTTGAGAATATTTCTTAAAAAATCTTCTTTTGCTCCCAAAAACGCCGTTTTAATTGTTGAAAAAATATGTTCGTAAAAAAGCGGCCAAATTTTTTTTTTTTTTTTATTTTACTTTTAACATTTGACCTTAATGAACAACTAAAATAAAATTCACTAGCCTAATTAATGACAACATACCTGAAGGTGGCGTGAATGATTATTGCGCGCACATTCAACCAGAAAAACGAGGAGAGGAGAAAGAAATGCGTGAATGTCCCTGTAAAAAATTAAATTTAACAAAAAAAATCCATTACTTAGTTTTTTATTTCTGACCTAGTATTGTGCAAGCTTCGGTTTGCTGAGACCAAGCCAGGGGTCGGAAGGCCATGGTGAGGTAGGCGCCGAGCATGCAGGCGCAGTGGGCGATCAGGCTCAGGCCTTTGATGCCCTGACGAAGGTCGTGACTGATCGCGTGGATGACCAGGGTGAGGAGGGTGAAGAAAGCTCCGATGGCTGCCAAAAGGCTCTGCGTGATTGCGTCGTCGAAGGAAATGTTGAACTCGCTTCGGTCACAATACATGGCCACGCTCCTGAACTCGCCCTGAACCTTTGCCTCGGCAATGCAGTAGCTCCACCGGTTGGCCGTGTATCTTAAAAAAAATACATCATTTTTAATTATTTTAGTAAAAAACCAACTTACTTCTTGGATTTCAAAGTCCCGACTTCGTCGATTTCGAAATTAGTTACCAACTTTGGGCGTCTCGTTTTTCCGTAATCCTTTCTCACGCCGATAAAGCAATTCTCTAAGTACTCGTAAATAGTCAGGCTGCGAAAGAACCAGGGTTTCAGGGCGTTTCGGTTCATTTTCAGGTCTGTGGCCGTCTCAGGGGACCAGCTGCTGCCCTCGTCCTCGCATATCTTGAGGAAGGATTTGCCCGTAGCCCTGAAATAAATTACAATTGATGGTATTAAAATGTTCAAATTATCCATTTTTATTGACTTTTTGTTGGAATTTTTTTTTGGAAAATATTGAAAATGAAGGTTCTTGAATGAAAAAAAATTCAGTTGAAGTATTGGAAAGGCCGAAAAAAGGTAAAATATTTTAAGTCTGACATAATTTTGCACAAGTATGACGAAATTTTCCAAAATCCATATATTTTTTTTTTTTGGCATATATTAAAACAATATTAATTGTAAGTTTAATTTGCAAACTTTTTGATGTGAAGTCGGTGTTCGGAATAGCAGCATCGGGCGATGCAGACTTCGTGGAGGCAAGGACAGGACAGCAGGACCCATTGCCGACTCTTTTCGCTGAGAACGGCGTCCAGACACCATTGTTGGTATGTTTGGTTGATCGCGAAAATGCTGTTGGCGCCTGGAGCAAGTTTCAAATTTGCCGTTGGGTCGATCTTGACGGGACTGGACACGTTGGCCATGAAGGCAGCACACGGCTCGTATTTAAAATCAAACTCTCGCAGGGAAGGAGACAGTTTTTTGAATTGGCTAGAATCAAAATTATTTTAAAAACAAATACGTAAAATTAAAAATTAGAATAAGATATTTTGTGGCATTGAAAATTTATGAGAATTTACTAAATTATCATAGAATTACGAAGTATATCTGAATTTTACCTTATAAGCTGCTGACGTTTAAGTTGAACTGGAATCCAATCGTAAAAAGATTTGTCTTTGAAGGCTTCACACTTTTTTGACGTAAAATTGTATGCAAAACTTTTGGGACAGCATTTTTGTAAAATCAATTTTGAACACTGTGCAAGGTGAATTGCAGCAAAGAGGATCAACGTCGCAAACCCAGAGACTCTCATTGCGCACAGTCTTGATAATCACTAATAGTTCAGTCAACATTTTCAACGAGAGACAAGAAATTGTTTTTCCTTTTGTGGGTTTTCCGTCAGAGTTGATTTCTATGTGCGTATGCTTGGTTTTTGTGCGAAAGCGGAAATGTGATTTCCGCCCTCTTCAGAAAATAAACGTATAGGTGCTTTAAAGAAACCACAAAGTTGTTCAAGACGCTTCCTTCAATTATCAAAGACGTCATAATGCACATTAAATTAACAACCAAAACCATTAGGGAAAATTCAAACATTTAATATTTATAGATAATTTTATTGTCAAAAGAAATTGTAAAATTTTCAAAGGTAAATAAATTACTTACATTTCTTAGTATCAAGTTTCAACACGTTTTCAAAGCTGAAATTTATCATTTAAAATAGTTTTATAGAATAATTTAAATTTTTATAAATTGGTAACTGAAAATATTTCTGCTTTACATTTTTTGTTTGTGTCAACTTTGAATCAGCCTTCGCACGACGAATCTATATCAGAGCTGAAGACCGATTAACAGTTTTTATTTCTCCTCGGGTTCTTGCCACGACGGTCAGTATCTCTTTTACGTGCGGACAAAACGCTTTGTTTGGTGTTTCCCATTTTCAAAGAAGCGTGACGCAGGAAAAACACAAGTAACGTGTCCGATCCTTTTTTTACTTTAAATCTAGAGAAATCCGAAGACTCTGTTCTATTAACGTGCGCACACAATTCACTGGAGCACATCTCATTTTGTCAGAGACAGATTTTTTTGTCTCTGGACCGTTACCCATTAATTTGTTTAAAATCTAATTTTATGCTTGATGCTGAACAAAGATTTGTGCGACTCTCATTCCTGCATCTTGTGGTAAAAATCATTATTATTAGAGTTTTGCCTTAAATTTGCTTTGAAATAAGAAACATAACCAGGTTTAAGTAAAATTAGCAACCGAAGCAAACATATTCAAATATTTACTTAAATCATTTATTTTTTTAATTAATTTTTCTCCTCGGGAAATAATTTAATAATTAATAACTGACAATTTCAAATTATTTTTCTCTTATAGATTTTTCTATTCAGTAACTTGATCTTATTTATATTGTTATAAAAATAATGAAACAATTATATTCACTAGAAAATTGAGATTTAATTTTCTCTGTTGCTTTTGTATTGTCACAAAAATATGCAGTAAATTTAAAAAAAAAACCTTGAGCTTGTCGTGATTTGAAAATAATCAAGTACTGGGAACATTATGACGCGGCTAAATAAAAAAACATTAAAAATCCGATTTTATAATTCCTTTCTTTTGTTCTCCTAATAAATATTCGATTTACGCGTGATTCCGCCGGCCTGAATTTAAAATCACGATCGACGAGATTGATGCTTTACGGCCGTGAAAATAAGAGATGAATTGTAACATAAATCTGCATAATGAATGACACTCATTAAACCTCAATAAAGTATAAAAATCTCATCCTAATTTTAAGGTCAAACATTATCAAAAAAATTCATTGTCCTCTAAAAAATTAAACGTCAATTTTATCAAAAATAACAAGTAATTGCAAAAGAAATTAAATATATAAATAAAGTTACATTTAAGAATTTCCCAAATTTGTTTCTTGACATATTGTCTATGAAAATTTGCATATGAGACGCAGTTATAAATTCCAGAGTGATTGATAGCTTGGTCGTGCTGCAAAGTTGCTCAAGCCGACTGTGCAGCTGCCGTGAGACGCAAGTTCATTTTTCGTCGTGGGAGTTGCTCGCGCCTTTCTGAATCGGTCATTATAAAAGCGGGCATTTTTACAGGTTGAAATTAAAACGCTTTCTGGATCAATCTCGAGCGCCTTCGTCGGACCTGCTGTGCTCGATATTGTGCAAACATTGTGCGTCACAATTCAGAGATAAAATGCAGGTTGCAATTAGAGAGTTTGGAAATTCAACCGACTGCTGCTTTTTATATTATATTGTTGCGGACATAATTGTTAAAACCGCGAGCAGCATTATATTTGGGTAGATGATGATTTGAAATAAAAAAAAAACATTAAGATTTTTGAATGGAGTTTCATTTAATATAGAAAATTTTATAAAAATACACCGAAATATTTTAAGATAAATTCAAAGCTCTTGAGTAAAGTGTGCTATTTTTTCAGTTAAATTATGATCCATTAGTTAAATAAGGATAATATTTTTAGCCCTTTAGACGAATAATTTTCAACGTGAAATAATTGAATGTAGAAAAGTTATTGATTAATCACATTTTATAATATTTTTTTCTGTATACCAGTTCATGAGCAGGTCGCAGATTTTTTTATAATAAAGGATCAAATAAATAAAATTAAAATTACTTTATTGAAAAAAAATTGTGTTTTCACTTTTTTTAAGACTTTATTTTTCCTCTTTTCCTTTCTTCTATAATTTTGTGCACATGTATGCTCTTTAAATATGCAGGTTTTAATCTTGTAAATAAAAATTACTTTTAAATCTCAAAATGTATGAACTTTTTATTTGAAGATATTTAAGATAAAAAATTTATTCTGAATTGCTCATAACAAATTAAATATTATATTATTACATTAAAAAAACTCTCACCTGCTATTTCAAAAGACCGTGGACACAATTTTCTAGCAACAACTGCATACGCCGCCGTAGAAGTTCTTTTGAGCTTTATTTTAGAGCCCAAGCTGTGCCACAAATGGACCCCGAAACTGTTCTTAAACATGAATTCGGTCAAAACGCCTTTCATTTCGTCATAGAGCGTGAAATAGTTTTCGTAGGTTATGGGGCTGATGACGGTGTAGTTTAAAAAATGCACGTCCTTGACGCGACCTTTATTGATGGCCTCTTCCACTTTCATTCCAAATGTATCAACCGTGGCCAAGTTCAGGCTCCTGGGCACCGTCGAGTAGACCTGGGGGTTGTAGCTTTTGTTGACCATGTCCATGATGCTCTTCAGAAAAGGGTGGTTTCGCTGGAATCCCATCATGCAACTGTTGATTTTGTCTTTGGTGTCGGCGGCGAGGAAGTTTTTCAGACTTAAAATTTCGTCGATGTTTCTAAAAGTGAGCAAATCCAGGTCCATGTAGACGCCGCCCAGTTTCCAAAGAAGGCCCAAACGCAGGAAATCGCTCAGGTGCTCAACCGGAAATTTCGTTTCTAAAAATTTGTTGGTTGAAGTCGCCTCCAGCGGAGTCCCTTTCACAACCTTTAAATGATTTGACAGCTTATTTAAAATAAATTTCTAAATTAAATTATCTAAATTTTACCTCAATATTTTTCACTGTGGCGAGGATTAAATTCCGTGCTTTGGATAAAAGTTTCTTGAGAGCTGGATTTCTTGTCGAGTTGATTTTCTGCACCTCGTTGGAAAATATTAGAATAAAATTGACTTTGGGGTTCAAAGAGGTTGCGGCTTCAATGGAACAAACGTCTCTGGCGTCCAGTTGGCCGCGGCCGGACGACTCGAGGAAAAACACAAATTTTTTTCCGAAGAGCTGATCGAAATCAAGCGGGTTGTCCAAAAAGGGCGTCAGATCTGATACAGCCAAATATTCTTCTTGCGCTTCATCCTTAATTTCTGGGCAGTTTCCTTTTGAAATTAGACTTGCAAATAATAGCGAACACGTTGCAAAGAATAGAAAGATCAAAGCTGTAAATAACCATTTCCTGTTCCAACTCCACATTGGGATGAAATTCTGACCTCTTTGTATCAAATAATTAACAATTTTCGCTGCGTTTTCAATCGTAAATCTGCCAGCTCAACGATCTCTGTTCACCTGAACACTGCAACGTGCTTTTTTGAGTAAATATTAAAGAGCTGAGCTCGCTTAGGCGTTCTCGATATGGCGCAAACAATGGAGATAGCGTCGTACTATAGGTAACTTATTTTTGGTGCATTACAAAATTCCAAGGGTTTAGGCGGTCTAAGTAATCTTTAAGTATTGCATAATTATTTGTTAACTTAAGACAAGACATCCGCGATTTGCACTGTGGATAAGAATAAAATCTATTCCGCACATCCAGTTCAATTTCCTTTTTAATATTTCATTCTTTTTTGTATTTCAATAATGAAAATATTTATTTACTCTAAAACATTGATATTGCATTATAACATTTTTAATAAAAAAGTCCTAAAACGTTTATTCGCAAAGTAGCTAAAATATAATATTTCTCTACAAGTTCAAATAAATTTTCTTTTCTAAGAATCATAAATGCTACCTCCAAACACGAGGACAATTAATCCCAAAATCAACATAATTATAGAATTAATAAACTGAAATGCGTTGTTATTTTTTCCTCTGCTATTTTCAACTTTTTAATGTTTCAATTGAGCATTTAAAATATATTATAACAAAATATTGACAGCAGATTTTTTACACTTTGGTAATTGAATTTTACAAAAAGAACTGCATTCGGCCACTATCATTTTTTGCGTTATTTAGCACTTCATCTTGAGCTGGATTGTGGCCAAAATTGCGGTTAATTTGCACGTCTGGGTTGAGATTTCGAAAAATGGAAATTAATTATTATCTTACGCAGCGTTTTCAAAAAATATTTGTCTAGGTTATAATTAGTATAATTACTAATTGTTTAAATTGTAAAATAATTTACATAAAAAACTTTCAAAAGTATTTGAAATGAGAATAATTTCTAGCTAAAATTTATTGAACAAGAAATTAGATCGGAAAAGGAAAAACAGGCAACAAACTAAATTGATTTACAATTTGACCTTTTTGCTGGAAATCTATTATGTTTGGCTCAGAATGTCATTTATATAAAAGAAGATTCTTGGCATTCCCGTAAAGACATTGAAGAAATTTCCTCGCCACTATGATGATTTGTTTATAGCATTCCTTAATTAATGTGAAGTGGATGAGACAGCCAGACACACACAGGCTATACAATGCAGTTGGCTGTTGGGATGCAGTGCGGTAAGTCAATGTGTTGTTTTGTTCGCGGCTGCTGTCGCTTCTTAATTCTTTGTTTTCGTCGCTTGCCGGTCAAATTTTTGACACAACTTTATTTGGTCCTAATGCATTTTTCTCCTTAATGCAATAGATCGATCTAGATTTCTAGTATCAAAATCAGTGAAATAATTATTATTATTATTGTTTTATAAATTATTATTTAGTGTTCTGAGATCAAAAGGAAAATCTTTTTGAACACTTTTCAAACAAATTTGAAAACGAAATTTAATTAAATTTGATTCTTGTCTGATTCATTTCATTTGACGTGTTCATAATTTTTTTTTTATAATTTTTGAATTTTTTAGAACAATCATGCATGACCATCGGATGAACGTTCATTCGCAATTTAATCTGAGGAGGTGCACAGTCGTCCTTCGAAGGCTGGATGAAGAGGCAGTGGTCAATGGAAACAGAAAATGGTGCCAATGGTGCCGCCGCTACCAGAACAACCCTGTGCTCTATGGCAACATCTACTCCCTGGGCCAAGTCACCGTGCACTACTTTTGTCTTGTAAGATGAATCAGAAATTTACCTAGAAGTATTTTCATTTAATTTTTTTATTTTAGCTGCATGCACAAGGAGTGGAGCAGAAAGGAGAAGACACAGAGGGCATCTTCGGTTTTCTTGAGCCTGACATCAAAAGACAGATTTTCAATGTCAGGAAAGTGGTATGTAAATTCGTCTCATGGAGCAAAACCATAATTTCTTTATTAGACCAAAATAATCTGCCAATTTTCGGCTCCTTTTTTAAATAAATAATGTTATGTTAAATTTTTCAATGCAGAAATGCTGTTATTGTGACGAATCTGGTGCTTCAATCAAATGTGCTCTGAAGATGTGCAAAAAAGTATTTCACCTTCCGTGTGGAATCGAAAATGGATCTCAGAACAACTTCTTCGGTCGATTCGAGTGAGTTTGTTTTACAAAGAAAAATAATATTTATTAATTTATGTAAAAATTGCACCCAGCTCTTTTTGCAAGCAGCACCGACCCCATGCCAGAGTTTCAGCAAACATTTGGCGCAACAATGAACCTGTCGTGTGCGCCATCTGCTTGGAGGAAGCCAAAAAAGACTACAAATGCATCAAAGTCCTTTGGGCGCGCTGCTGCAAAAAGAACGCGTGGATGCACCGATTATGTGTTCAGGTATAATTTACCTCTTTTTTTTACTTTTCATGACTTTTTATTTATTCCAGAAATATGCATTGAGCTCTGGCTACTATTTCAAATGCCCACGGTGCAATGACAAGCCAACATTCAAGGATGCCATGCTCAATTACGGAATTTACGTCCCTGAAACGTAATGATTTGTTTATTTTACTTGCCGTTATTAAAATAAAATTTTTCAGGGACGCCTCTTGGGAGCTCGAGGGCAATCAGTTTGAAGCTCTGTACCAAAGACACTCCCGTTGTGATGCAGAGTTGTGTCTTTGTCCTGAAGGAAGGCAATACAACGAGGAAAGCACGTAATTTTTTTTATTATTTACGTACCAAAAAGATAAAAAATTTCTTATGCCAAATGTTAGCAACGACTGGGAAATTCTGCTGTGTCTTTCTTGTGCCTCTCAAGGAATTCACGTCGGCTGCAGAGAATTCAAGATTGCTATCAGAGATTGGTATTGCACAGGATGCAAGCCCATCATTCAAAAACGTAAGCGTACTTAATTAATTTCAAATATGTAAATCAATTTAAATAAAGGATAAAATACAAAATTAAATTTTAAGAATTTTATAATTATGTTATCAATTAAAATTAATTTAGAAGAACGACGATAACTTGATACTTGATTAATGCAAATTTCAGATCGTCAAGATGCAGAAAAAACTGCAGCCTCCATGTCTGGTCCTTCTGCTAATTCCAACACGATCCCTCCTGTTGCTGAAGCCCCTGAAGAAAGTTCAGCGGTTGTAGAGAGGTATATAATTCACCCTACCTGTGGCTGGTTTCATCTTCTAATAAATTTGCAACCAGCAGACAAATAACAGCAGCTCACCCGGAAAACCCCCAATCTTTTCCAGATGCGCAAGAAATCATTGTGTTGCCGGAGGAGGAGGAAATTGACATCGTAATTCTGGACGAGGTGCCAAGACCTGCAATTGAACCAGTTGAAGAAATTCAAAAAGTGCACAGGCTAACAACAAATACACCATCAGGAGGCTCTTCATCCGCTAAACCAAAGAGATCTGAGGTAATTGAAATTTTATTATTGATTAAAATACACTTTTCAAGAATTAAATCAACCTTTTTCAGCCACGATTTGCTATTATTCTTGATGATGAAACTGATGATGATTTTGAACCAGAGATTGTTGAAGTTTTTGAGGACTTGGCATTGGCACTTTAAATGAATTGAGTGATAATAATATTGAAACTGGGTTACAGCGCCTATAAAGGCCGAGTTTTAAGTCATAACTGAATTATGTACCTCTAAAGAGTCTAAATGTTTATATCTTTTAAAGCTTCACAATATATATTACATTTTTACAAAATGAAGTCTGAAAAATAAAGAAGTTTGGAAATTATTATTTTTAGTTTAATTGAAACATTTCACTTCCATAAAGTCTCATTGAGTGCGAATTTCTTAGTTGAAATTTTTAAAGTAAAAATCCTAATTATGGGCCTAGATTCTCTCTTGCTAAGAAACATCAAAGATTTACTTATTTATTCTGAAATATAATTTCTTCAGCACAGACTTGCAATGTGGGTTTTCCTGATTTTTTTGTAGCCGTTTAGTGGAAGAATGTTTCAACATGAAATATTTATCTGGCGTAGAAAATTTCTGAAATATATATATCAATTAAATTTAATTGTAATTTTTCTAATAACCTGTCTTCTGAAAATGGCGCTGTTTTAAATTAATACCGAAGAAAAATTAAAATTTCTTTTTTGAGGAAATAGTGTTTTCTATTTTTTATTGTAGTTTCTTCTATATATTTTGAATTTACAAAATTTCTATAGAGGTTCTTGTAGTTGTTGTTGTGGAACTTTTTGAAACTCGAGGTGTTCATATTTTTTTTATGAATCAAAATGGGCAAATTTTTTCTGCACGATACAGACAATCCCTGCTCTACTAGTTTCGGTTGCGGTTTGCAACCCTAATTCATGAGCTGTTGAAATGAAACAAGCTGATATTTAACAAATTAAAAGTACATTTTGAAAAATGAACATGCCAATAATATTCAATTGCTAACGTAAATTACAACATTTTTCTTCTTAAATTGATAGTTCGAAACATAATTTATTTAATTTCTGAAATAATATTTCCAAGCGTTTTTTATTTCTTCATGGCACTAATCACAATGTGCATGAATTTCTAATGAGATTTCCAGCGTTTTTTATTAAATTATTATTAATGGTAACAATATTGAAAATTTAAGGATATAATAAAGTCCAAGGAAACCGTTTTTAGTCTCACAAATTTTGTATATAAATAATAGGAAACAATTCACAAAGATCCATTGTCAGAATTCTTTTTGGAGCGAATTTACATAATAATCATTTAAAAGTGTTCCAAGAAAAAAATTTCTAATCATAAATATCGTGGAGTATATTCGATGGCACGAGGACAGAGTTTTTTGGCCAAAACAACGAAAGGCGCTTTCGATTGAAGTTTAAACTTCAAATTTGAACTCTTGCTGCCCCACAGGTGGACACCGAAACTGTTTTCCAGCAGTTTTTCCACCAGCCCGACTTTGCCCTTTCCACCGTACAAGTCCATGAAGTCTTCGTACTCCACCGGACTAATCACGGACACGTTCAGAAAAGAAACGTCCGAGACTTTGCCCATGGCCAGAACGTCGGCGACCGGCAAGTCGAAGTACTTGCGAGTCGCAATGTTGAAGGCCTGGGGCACGGTGGGGTACTCGAAGGGGTCGTAGTGCTCGCTGACGATTTTCATGAGGAACTCGAGAAAAGGGTGGTTCCGCTGAAAACCCAGCATGCACGTGTTGAGCCTGTCGACGGCGTCGGCGGTGAGAAAATTCTTGAGGCGCACGATCGGCGCGAGGCTCTTGAAAGTGAGCAGGTCGAGGTCCATGTACGTCCCGCCCAGTTTCCACAGCAGGCCGAGCCGCAACAAGTCGCTCAGGTGCTCATTTGGGTACGGAGACTTCGCAAGCCGACTTGTTGAAAGTTCCTCCAAAGGCGTATCTTTCACAGCCTGCAAAACGCAAATTAACTTTTATTTTAAAATGGTAAATATTGAAAAAGATAAATATTTAATTCAATTTAACAGCTCTAAATTATCCTGGTGTTTAAATTAAATTTTTAAATAAAATCTGTCCTAATATTAAATGATGATATTATCCTAGGTTTTATTGTATTCCATTCAAAATTGAAGATTATGACAAAATTTGATAGGGAATTTAATCTATTTAAAATTTCCATCCCTTCGTAAAAAAAAATTAGTTCTGTAATCAAATTTTATAACAAAAATATAAAATACTCTACAGAACAGGTAAAGGAAAAACCAAATTTTCCATAAAATTTTACCTACTCAAATTAGAAATTTTCTGGTTATCAAAATAATCCCTTTGGCCCAAACTTCTTGTTTTTGTGTGAAGGATTTTGCTCTCCTGAGGTGGTTCCAACCACTTTTTAATAGAACGATTTCTACAAAATCAATAGATTCTTCAAAATTTGAAAAAATGATTTTTTTTTTTAATGTAACGCACCAAATAATCTTAAAATTGCCACACAATTTTTTTAATAATCATTTTGTGAAGTACTTCTCTGACGATAATAATTCATATCACGCGAAAGTCAAGATAACGCTTCCCCGTTCTTCTTTTGACACGCCTTGATATTATTTTAGTTTGCATTGGAATTACCTGCCGGAAATCGACGGTGGCCAAGTGGACGTTTTGCATCCGCTTGAGCAGATCGGCCAGGGCAGGGTTGCGACTGAGACTGATTTCCAGCAAATTTCGCGTGAAGACGAGAAAAACGTGCGTTTCGGGGTTGAAGGTAGAAACCGCCTCAAGGGTGCAAACTGCCCTGACGTGCACGCGCCCCGTGCCGGACGTCTCTGTGAAGAAAATCACGTCGTCGCCGTAATTTTGCTGGAAATCGGCCGGATCGTCCAGCATCGGCGTCAGGTCGATTAAAAACTGCAATTGCTCGTGCCCTGTCAGGTCGTCTTCGGCTTCGTCGTCCAGCAAGAAGATGATTTTTCTGCTGTCATTGCCGGACAAAAGCAGCAAAACCGCAGCGGAAAACAGAACAACTATCGCCACAAGTAAAATGACGAAGAGCCGGAAATGTCTCCGCATCTTCACTGCCATCGGTACAAACTGCCATTGACGGCGCCAAATCGGAATAAGTGTATTGATTGCCCAGCGATGTGTATTATCAGCGATAACACGTGCATTTATTTGGGTAGGCTTCATTTGCAAAGCGATAAGTTTGTGAAGATTATTTTCGTAGCTATCAATCACTTTTTACTTTTTATGTTATTATTAATGAATTTAAAAGCAGAAAAAAAACGTACAGGATAGATGTGAAATTAAAACTTTTGCTTCCATATAAATAACTTATTTAAAAAGTAAATTATTTTCTAAACAAGAATTACTGAATTATAATAATATATAATAAAATACAACTCATTAAAATTGAAGAAAAATAAATTAATTCTTAACCTACATGATAACATTGTTTCTCATTTTCTTTTTTGTTCAAATTTTTGGAACCCTTTTACAAAGAATTTCTGATATTCATTTTTTGTTTCTTATCAAGCTGATTTGACACGCGTCATCGACAAAGATAACAAAGAATATTTTTGCACTGAATTCGTAGCTTGGCGGGTGAGCTACAATTTTATGAACTAAAAGTCATTGTTCAATTTCACAAATTTTTATTACTTGTTGCAAGTCTGCCAAGCCCAATATCAGTTGGCAATCATAGAGATGAGTACGCTTTTTAACAATTTTGCGGATTATGTTAAAAAAAAGATAAATTATTATTTCCCTTTCTTGCATATTATGAGCTATGCGAATGAATGACGTATTTGTGAAGCGAATTGAAATCAATAAATTAATATGAAAATTACTGAAACTGTAATTTTGCGAACAGAAGACAAGTCATCAACAAAAGAGAATTTAAAGTTCCTAAAATCTATTATTTGGTGTAATAAAAATTAAGTACAAATAATTCAAAAGTTACAACATATTCAAGAAACGGAACTTAAAAGTTCGCCAATTTTATCAGCCACTCACGCCTTTGAGACTAAATCATTTTTAAAAGGCAACAAAACACATCATCTAAAAAGTAAAAAATTACAAAATTTGAGTTTTCTTTTCATTGGTGGCTTTTTGCCAATTAGTGAGGACACAAAATATTAAATTCTGTTTTACTCTTCATGGAAAGGAGAAGATCGTTCTAAATAAGTTTTGAACTTTTTCAAAACAGATCTTCTGCCTTTTCAAATGACCGCGGGCAAAATTTCCTAGCAATAACAGCATAAGGCGCCGTAGAGTTTTTCTTGAGCTTGAAAATGTTGCCCAGGCTGTTCCACAAATGCACGCCGAAACTGTTCTTCGTCATGAATTCGGTCAAAACGCCTTTCAATTCGTCGTAAAGCATGAGATGGTTGTCGTAGGTGACGGGGCTGATGACGGTGTAGTTTAAAAAGTGAACGTCGCCGATGCGTCCTCGCTTGATCGCCTCCTCCACGGACACGCGGAAAGTGGTCACCGTGGCCACGTTCAGGGTCCTGGGCACCGTCGAGTAGTCCAAAGGCTCGTAGGTTTTGTCCACCATGGCCATGATGCTCTTCAGAAAGGGGTGGTTTCGCTGGAATCCCATCATGCAACTGTTGATTTTGTCTTTGGTGTCGGCGGCGAGGAAGTTTTTCAGACTTAAAATTTCGTCGATGTTTCTAAAAGTGAGCAAATCCAGGTCCATGTAGACGCCGCCCAGTTTCCAAAGAAGGCCCAAACGCAGGAAGTCGCTCAGGTGCTCAACCGGAGATCCGGTTTCCAAAAATCTCGTGGTCGAAATCGCTTCCAGTGGAGTTCCTTTCACAACCTAAAAGGATTAAAAATCTCATTAGGTTCATTAATATTATAAAAACCCCACGAAAAAAATAAAATAAAACTCTGTATCATCAATTTAGGCAAAGAATTCAAAGATATTAAAATTTAAAAAAAAAATCAGAATCAAATTTATATTTATATTTATTTTAAATCAGCCCAGATCAACACTTATTCCTTTTTTAAATAAACAATAGTTTTAATTATTTTAAATACTGCATTTTTTTTTAATTCATATCAGACAATAAATTTAATAATTTGTGTATACTTGCCTGGACGCTGTTAACTGTGGCGATGATTAAATTTTGGGCCACAGACAGAAGTTCCGTAAGAGCTGGATTTTTTGTTAAGCTGATTTGCCGCACATCATTGGCGATGATTATAAAAATTTTCACGTTCGGGCTCAAAAAAGTTAGAGCTTCGACGGAACAAACTTCTCTGGCGCCCAATCGGCCGCTGCTCGACGACTCGATGAAAAACACAACATTTTCGCCGAATCTCGCCTCGAATTCAAGCGGGTTGTCCAAGAAAGGAGTTAAATCGAATACTCGTAAATAATGCTCATCTTGTTGAGCTTTTGAATTCGGAATTTTTCTGTTCGATAATAAATACAGGCCGAAAATTAGAGCGATGGAGAGCAGCAAAGATATCCTGTGCAGAATCTTCATTGCAGCAAAATACTGAACAAAAAAATTGATGCTACTGTTTTCCGGATGATAATCTATAAATTGAGAGACGTTATCGGCGTGGATTATCAGTTGCCTTGCGTGGAGAGAAAATTTAATCCATCTCTAGCTCCAATGAAGATAGGTTTAAATTCCTTTCTGCAGTTTTTTTATGAATATATTATATCGGATTAGATTATAATTTAGATTATTAAAACCTGAATATCCTTCCAATTTTTTTTAAAAACCTTTTTAATAATACTCTCAATGACACTGATAATGTTAATTGATAAATTAATGATAATGAGAGCTGATAAAAAAATTATTACACCCACAAAATACCGATCCCTATCAAGTTATATGTGTTAAAATTTAAAATATTCCTTGAAATCTGTAAATAAGTATCTTGAAAAGTAATTTCAAGAAATGATTATAAAAAATATGTTTTTAATCATTTAATATATCAATTTGATTTATTTTCTTCAAGCTTAAATTTTATCAACATTGAAATTAAATTTTCATATTTTTTTTTCAAAACAAATTTTATTAATGAAGATTAATTTTTCAATACTTTTGCGTGTTATTTAATCAATATTTTGTATTTTGTGTAAATAATGGTTTTTTTTTCAGGTCTATAACTGTATCAAAAATTGAGTTTATTTTTGTTTGTATTTTCTGAATTATAAGCAAACAATCGAAATTTCGACACCGCAGGCCACTTGCATGCCAAACAATGAATGCAAGTTTGTGCCAGGAGGAGGCGGCGCGAGAGTTTTTTCTGCTCCAAGTGACCTCTTAAAAAATAAAGTGCGGCAACACGCACTGCCTCTCTATCTCGAGCGCCAAATTCATCACGATCTCTTCTCCAGAAATCAAAAGATAATAGACAACCATTGTGTAATCACCGAATGATCTGATTTGAATTTGTCAGATTCTAGAATGAAGTGATTTTTAATTGTTCAATCAAAACTCAGGCAGACCCACGTCCTTGAAAAGTTGATCAATCGGAGAGAAAGAGAGGGAGAAAATTTCATGTTATGATTAGAAATATATAAATGTTCTTTGGTTGGTATTGCAAATATTACGTTCGTATTCTAATTTTTGCATGAAATTTTAATTTTTTTCCTCTCTGTTAATTATTACTAATTACACGCCACGATAAAGAATAACACGGTGAAGCGTGGGATTTAACAGGCTTTGCAAGATTTCATCTTCCTTGAGAAGAATTGTATTTTGCGTAAGCGAGACAATTTGCGTGTTCTGCGTAAACTTGACATGATTTTTAACTTTACTTGAAGCAGCGTAATTTTAATGTTAATTAAGTGGAAGTGAAAAAAGTGATTTATTGTCATTTCTTGTTTTAAAATTTAATTGTTATGAGGAAACAATTTAGTGAAAGAACGAGGAATTAAAAAATTAAAAGTTTCAGAATAGTGAAATTTTAGATTTTTGATACAAAATAAATTATTCTTGTTTATTTGTTCAATTATTATATTGGTTTTAAAATTGAAAATATCATGAATTTCAAATGAATTTTTGCATCAATTATGGTGTCTGAAATTTCTTATCGTTTTCCAATTTGAGATTGCCAAAAATAGTTTTCTTATTTTGGAAAGACTTCATTTGACTTGTCAAAAACCTTCATTTTGAAAGGAAATACGAATAGAATAAACTATTATTTAAAATTATTTGCTTTTTTAATCATGGTTTTAAATTTTATTATCTAGAGATGCTGCTTTTTTAATGAAATTCATGCCCTTATTTATTTTAGGACATTCTTGAAATAACTCTTAACTCATTACCTAAACATAATCTACACAACTTATTCTTCTCATTATGCTTGCTTTTTAGGTTCTTTTGGCTTGCGTAACCTAAATAAGGGCACCTTTTCACTTGAATAAAACTTGGCTTGTTTCGAGTTTACTTGCTTGTTCTCTACTAACTTTTTATTAACCCAAAACAAAAGGTAAACGCGCTGCGCTGCGCCTTGGCGGGAGATCCAATTTGATGCCAATAGAAAAGTGCTATGCTTACTCTTTTTCAGACATAGCAAACCTCCAGAGGCAGATCAAAATTACAATTTTGATAATTAATGTTGGATTACAGCATAGCACTTCAAATTAAATTATACAATTATTGTATCAGTGGCAAATAATAGCAAAATGGTTAGCAATTTTAAACTCACTTAAGTCTGATTTAATTTTTTTCTCACTCTCGATGAGCGCCTGAGAGGTGGCTGAAATTTCACCTGGTCCAAGTGCCTCTCACGCTCAATTCCCTCTCCATCTTTCACCCTCACACGACGAGGGCCCAGTAGTCGGACTGCTTGCCCAGGGACCCACTTATCTCTTCCTGTGAATTGTCGGAACGCCACTTCTTGACCCTCAACTCCTCCCCGAGGCTTAGTTGTGACTGCGGCGATTGCCCTCTTCTCCCTTTCAATTTGTCGTCTTATGTGTTGTTGATCTGGGTGCACTTTGTCGATGACCGTCTGAGGCCTTCGGCCAAGGTTGAATTCTGCTGCTGCGATGCCAGTAGTGGGATTAGGACAAGAATTTTGGCCCAACAAAAAGCTGTCCAACTTCTTTTCATCACCACTAACTTTCTTGAGGAAGGCTTTCACTGTCTGGACACCTTTTTCTGCCACACCATTTGAAGCAGGGCTAAATGCGGGCCCATTGTCAGCAACAATCACATCACACAATCCCTGGAATCGGAAATTCTTTCTACAGAAGAGTATCACGTCGTCTGCTGACATTCCTCTTGTTCGCTCACAATCCATCCATCCAGATAGCCCATCAACTCCAATAATGAATGTTTTCCCCCATGGAATAATAGGTGCTTTGTTTGGCGCCTTGTTGAACAGTCTGCATGGTTCACAGGCTGCACACAAATTTGAAATCTCTAGGTCCATTTCTGGCCACCAGAAATATTGACGGGCCAGTGATTTTGTTCGGACCTCTCCGAAATGGTTCGAGTGAAGCAAGCACAAAATTTTCTCTCGCAGGCTTTGCGGCACCACTGCTTTCTCTTGCAACAGAAGAGGCTTGATTGCAGAAAGTTCTTCGTCGACTTTTGCTTCTTCTTTAAATCTGTCCACTGTCAACGTTGGGTTCAGCAAGTCCATGAAACAAATTTTGGCTTCTTCACAGAAAAGTTCATCTTGATCCTCCTCAACAACTTCCAAAGGCAGCCTCTTGAGTTTTGCTGGTAAGTGGTCAGATAATGGTTTTCCAGGGCTGAAAATACCAAGAAGAGGCCTATGGTCAGTGATTATCGTGAACTGACGTCCCCACAAAAACTTTTTCAGTTTCTTGACAGCCCAGACAATGGATAGAGCCTCCACATCAATCTCTTTTCCCTGTTCAACTTGGCTGAGCACTGCACCGATTCCTTTGTTACTCCCGTCACATGCTAGTATCACATCCTTGCTTGGGTCAAAGTATGCTAGGGCTGCCTGCTTGCTCACAATTCTTTTTGCCTCCTCCATGGCAGTTTGGCATTCTGTGGACCAATAGAAACGCGCCCCTTTCTTCAGCAACCCGAGATAGGCTCGTAACTCATCGAGGTTCTTCGGGGCAGGCATGTCTTGAATGGCCTTGATCTTCTCATTAGTAGGTTTCACTCCTTCTTGAGTAAACAAATAGCCCAGGTACTCCAGTTCTGGTGGCATTCTTCGAAATTTGAATCGTCCTCTCTGGGTAGTTATGGTCAGAATTTCGGACGACTCCTCGTCCACCTCAAACTGGAGGTATGCCTCGGCTAAATCAATTTTGGTGAAATGGAATCCTTTCTTCACTTTACTCAGCAGTTGGTCTAATGTTGGTAACGGGTAATCTGAGCGCTTGATCTGCGGATTTACGGTTGACGAGTAGTCGGCACAAATTCGCACCTTGTCACCTTTCTCTACCACTACTATCGGCGTGGCCCAATCAGATGACAAAGTTTGCTCGATTACTCCTGCTTCTTCCAGCTCAATCAGAGCCTTTTCTGTTTTCTCAACAAGTGCAAATGGCACTTGGCGAGCGTTTCGTTGTATTGGTTTTGCTCCATCCTTCAATTCAATTCGCACTGGGGGGCCCTTGAACCTTCCAAGCCCAGGCGAAAATACTTCACTCAAATCTTGAAATTCTTCAGGAATGTTTTCCATCTTGAAGACACTTGCACTATGCTTTTTCTTCCTCTTTTTCTTTTTCTTCTTTTTCACTTTCTCCGCCTTCACATTTTCTCTTGCAATCACTCTTGGAATTTTCATTTCTACACCCAGTTCTTCAAACCAGTTCCGTCCAATTAAAGCTGGCCCAGGTTGCTCCATCACTAGCAGTTCAAGCTGAACTGGCTCTTCTCTTCCTTGTAGCCAAATGGGCACAAATAATGCACCAGCTGCTCTAATTTCAGGGCCATCACCCCAAGGCTTCATTTTTACATTCGATGGCTGCAACTGAGCTCCTTTTGGAAAATACTCACTGAACGTTTGCCCTCCAATCAGTGAATATGAGGCTCCAGTGTCAAGTTCCATTGGCAAAGTTTGCCCATTCAATTGGATGTCTAGAAAAATTCTCTTACTGGACAATTTCTCGCATTTAGTCTCCATTTTCAAAAGGTAGTTTGTGACTGCTTCTTCTTGTCTTCGAGCACCTCCTTTGGCTCCCTCGTCTTCTTCACTAGAACTTTCTTCACTTGAGTTTTCTTCATTATCCAAGTGATGAGTCGTTTTGCTTTTCTGCTTTAGTTTCTTGGTGTAGCAGACATCTTCTTGGTGCCCAATTCGCCCACAAAATTGGCACAACTTTTTCTTCAATTTGCAGTCATCCCTCATATGACTTGTTTTTCCACAGCAGAAACACTGGTTGTTCTTCTGCATTTCTTCATAATGGCCCAACAGCCCACCTTTTGTTCTTTTCCAATTTGGCTGGCGGTCCTTGTCAGGTGCTTTTTTCTGCACAACTTGGTGCAGCGATCCCTTTTGTCCACCAGACAACTCCTTTGCCGCAGCCTCTGCTCGCTCATGTGCGTAAATCCTCGTTGACACGTACTCGACTGTCAACTTGTCATCTGGTTCAAGGAGAAGGCTCTCCTTTAACTTCAAATCACGTAAACCAGATATCATCCTGGCCACCATAGCTTCGTCTCTCTCCTTGAATTGAGCTTTGTCAGCCAATCTTGACAACTCCGTAATAAACTCTATGGCTGGCTCCCCAGGTTGCTGTACTCTGGCATGGAATCTATCCCTCTGGACAGACTTAGTTGGTTCTGCTTGCTGAAAGTATTTACCCATTACCTTCCAGAGCTCAGCCAAAGTCACTTCTTTTACCTTTTTAGGTTTCAGCAAATTTATAATCAGGGTATAAGTTTTGCTGTCCATATTCGTCAGAAATGCGTTTCTCTGCTTTGTTACGTCTTCAATCCCTTGGTCTTCAAAATACAAGTCCCATCGGTCGGTGTATTCGTCAAAGGTTAGTCCACCCTTTGGATCATAAGGTTCAATCCTTGGTCTTTGAGGCGTCATTTTTGAATGTTGACTTACTGTTTCATTGAGCTCTTCACCCTCGACTTCTTCTTCTACAATGTTCTCCAAGCTGTTTCCTGGCGAACTATCTTCTGCTACGTCCAAAAAGAGCGGTGATGGACACGTTTCGGACAGATCAATAAACGATGTTTCTTCTGGGCTGTCGGCCATAATCTAAATCAGAGCACATGGTGATAAGCACACTGTTCAGCTTTGTTCGAATATCCTCGTCGCCACTTGAAATAACTCTTAACTCATTACCTAAACATAATCTACACAACTTATTCTTCTCATTATGCTTGCTTTTTAGGTTCTTTTGGCTTGCGTAACCTAAATAAGGGCACCTTTTCACTTGAATAAAACTTGGCTTGTTTCGAGTTTACTTGCTTGTTCTCTACTAACTTTTTATTAACCCAAAACAAAAGGTAAACGCGCTGCGCTGCGCCTTGGCGGGAGATCCAATTTGATGCCAATAGAAAAGTGCTATGCTTACTCTTTTTCAGACATAGCAATTCTATTTTGAACTAGTAATTAATTAGAAATTCCCGTTTTTTTATAGATAAATTACTCTTTGATCCAATAAAGTGACCGGTTTAATTTTCTCTCTTGCTTTACATCCAATTTGAATTTCCCTTTTCACGCATTCCTCCTTTCTTCAGCCTCTTTTCAATGCATCTCTTGCAATTTATCTCGCCTCCAACCACAATTCTGCTTACTCATGCCAGTGCGAGGTGCGGAGCAGGAAGATTAAGAGTTGACGCTGGAAAGAGAGAAAATCGGTCCATCCGTCCGCACTTCTCCCTTTCTAATTGACCCCTGCATGACCTGACGCAATGCACTGCACAGGTAATTACAGTTTATATGAACCGTCAGCATGCTCTCGATTTTTTTTGTCCGCCTCTCGACAACCAAAGGCTGAGGAGAAAGAAAGAAGTTCCCGAATTCTTTGAGCCGCTGGACACGCCAGCGCCTTTTATTTCGCTCTCAGGGACGAAAGACGCTTCTTTCACTTGGCTTTTTTTGCCACTCGCTGCAAAGAAGAAAAGCAGTGTAAGATCATTCGAGAAATTCGGTTGAATCATGAAATTAATTGGATACAAAACTGATGCCATAGTTTTGGTTGAAGTAGTTTTAAAACGAGTTGAGAAATTTTTGTAAAAAAATGAGGATTATTAAATAATAAAAATAATAATTGGATTATTTTTATTTATTAAAAATTATAAAATTTTTAAATTTATACAAAAATTTTTAGTAAAAAACACATAAAATTCTGTAAAATAAATAAAACGGTTAAAATAATTCAATACACAAAGGAAGTTGAAAACGGCTTGTAAAGTTTGAAATTAGAAATTCCAACATTCAAAGAAACCCACACTTTTCAGTTTTCAGCTTTAATTGTGAAATGAAAATTAGAATATTGTACCATTTCCTCAAATTTTCGTTCCAGCACATTCAGAATAATAAAAAGTCATAAAAATAGGCTGGTGATTTTTGACGTAGACGAAATTGTGCAAAATTGAGCTGATTTTATTTTTCAAAACTTGTATCATTTTTTAATTAAAAATTTAAGGGAGATAAAAGTTGGATTTTATATTTACTTAGAAACAAATTTTATTAATAATATATTTACAAATTAAATTATCAAACACTTTGACTATTCTCCATAATTTCTCCATAAATTTTATTTTCTAAATTCAAACAAACATTTTCAACCTTTGAAATAAATACCAGAGCACAATTGAGACAAATTTACATTGTTGAAATAAAACAAAATCGAGCCATTTGCGCACAAAAACAAACGTATTTGTTGGTCCAAATGCACTTTCAAATTCGCATTAGCGACGCTTCGGATGATCCAAACAATGACAGAGAATTAAAGAAAAAGCTGCAATGCAAATTGCGTCCGATCTCCTCCTTTATCGTTCGTCAGCCGCGGTGGACGGAGACAAAGAAATTGTTTTTCACGGCTGGTCTATCTTAGAAATGCTTCGAAAGAGTCTCACCGGGCGGGACGCATGCGCCGGCAGTGTGTGTGAGACCGAAGCGCCTAAAAAACCAGCAACGATCTCAAGCTGGAGCTCAGTCCGTCTGCGAACCTGCCCAAGGTTCGGTCGCGCTCCCAAAAAGAGGAAGCTTCGTACCTGGCGATGGCTAGCTCGTGATTCTTGCAGCAGATTTTGGATTTTTGGATAAAAACGAACTTCCATCATGAGAGGCAGCGTCGAGCAGCTGATCAAAAATGGAAAGCGATTTTATGTTCCTCGAAGGTTAGTTTAAAATAAAATTAATTTATAAATTGCTTCTAAATTATTTTATATTAATTAATTTTTGGAAATCTTAATTTAAAAAAATTTCCCCAGATGAGGGCTATTTTTAAATTAAAACCTGGATCAAATTTCATCGTGTTCACGCTTGATTTAATAATTTTGCTCTTATTTGAATAAATTATAAATAAAATATTTAAATTATTGTATTTTTCAAAATTATTTCATTGATTTAAAAAAAAATAATCAGTATTACTTCGGATTAAGGACTCCCTTATTGAAATTTTTAAGTCTTTGCAATAATAGCGGTAAAAGTTTTCAATAATTGCCATAAATGGTTAATATTATTGTAAAAATATTATTTTATTGAGCCAAATAAAGAGTCCTTAATCATTTAATTAGTTGAAAATCTAACAATCTGTGTCAATTTTTTATTCGTCTTGCTTTCTAATTCTAAAAACTATGATGCTATTTTCGCGTGTTGACAAATTATCTCTTTGTCCCAATCGCTTTGGAAATTTTTGGAGGGAAAAGAAATAATTGAAAAGCACAAAACCTATAATAATAATAATCCCTTGCTTGTCATTCATATACAATTTATTATTTTGTTAAATAAGGCGTTTTAATGACCACGCTTTTAAAGGTACTTCAAAAGAATGGAAATACCATTAAGGTTTCTTTTTTATCTATTTCAAGAGACGAACAATAAGGTACCGTAAAAAAACCCATTATAAAGTAGTAAAAAAAGTATAATTTGAACCTGATAGATCGCACTTTTTTTCTTTTTTCATAGAAACACTTTTAATTCAAACAAGCTCAAAATTTTGAGAATTTCAATCAGACGTGCTCGCTGCATTCAATTTAGCCGGAGCTTGGTTAGCTTTGAAAATCGACCAAATAATAATGAGAATTGTTCGGAGCTGCCGAACCGCTATTATTTGATCGCCGGCCAAACACAATTGACCCGCATTGGAAAAGCATTCTTCATTGTCTGCGCGGTGGATCAAAACTGGGAATAATCGTCGTCGCACCGGCCGGCACTTCATTCGAGCACATGACACTCGGCTCGTGTCAATAAAACTGCGCTTCCATTGTTGCATTATTGCTCCGTTTCTATATTTGCGAACTCACGACGTGCAAACAGAGCCCAAATAATGACAGGAACAAACAAAGTGCGCTCCGTTTGTACAATAGCAATGAAAGGGGTCAACAGAGCAACTGTTTATTAATTTTACTCCAAAAAGTGTCAAGAATAAAACGAAAGTAAAACTTTTGAGAAAAAAAAATGAATTTAAATCAAATTCCGAAAAAAAAAACATTATTAAACTAAATTGAAATTTTTAAGTTAGTTCCTAAAACATTGAATTAATTTTTTAATATAATTTGGAAAATACTGTCAAAAATGTTATTGAAAACAAGTTAATCGTGACAATTGGATGAATAAACAGGAAAAAAGAAGCAATTATTAGGTGTGAAACAGGAAATGTGAAACGCCAACAATCTTATTTAATGAAATTTCTGGAACCGAAGTGGCACCGAGTAAAAGTCCCTGTTTCTTTTTGTTGCTCGGCCAAAAGTTGCTTTTGGAGCCGCCTTAATTTGCATTTATATACAAACGTGACGCGCGTCTGCAAATTTTCTCGCTAATTTTCGCCGCGATGACACACAAACGAATGGTCGCGTTTTAATTCGCGCTAATGAGAGCGATATCAGAGGTGCGAAGAAAAAGACTCAGCTGGGCGCCCGTTTTATCCGCCGCGGTGAACACAATTCGGCAATTTGGGGCATTAAAAACCAAATCCGGCCCCCATGCCAGCGACTCGCTCTCACAACAAAGTGCATTTTGAATACATGTTTGAACGCACAGCCGATTAAAACATATAAACGCACGTCCCATTTCCCTGCGAGCATCAAACGCCTGATTGTATATTCATGAGAGCCAAATAATAATGCACTGAACACTCTAGACAAGACTAGATTTATTTTAAATGCTGGTTGTAAATTTGTATTTTAATTAGAAATTTCTTAAATGAATCTAAAAAATTGTTAATTATTTGCTGGTGTTAACTTTTTATAAGTTTTATTTAACTTTGTAATACTTTATTCCTGTAATAATTGCTCTAATTAAAAAAATTGTTTAGTGAACATTATAAAATTAAAATACTCTTAAATATTTCTGTTTAAAAAAATAATTTAATAATAATATTGTTCTGCTTTGACTGAAAATCTCATAAGTTAAAATCAGAATATGCAACGTTTGTATAAAAAAGTGCATGTTTTTTAACTTCATTTTACTTTGAATTTAAAAAAAAAAAAAAAAAAAAAAAAAAAAAAAAAAAATGTGAAGAAATCATTTTCAATCTAGATTTTTATTTGACGTAAAAAGAAACTATTTTATTGCAAAGAATGTCTTTTTAATTCCAGAAAAAATATATTTCCGACATCAAGGAACTGACTCAATCGATCTCCAAACCTTTATAATTAAAGACAAGCATTTGTCACGTTTTTCTTGTGCGACTTTCGAATGTAAAAAAGTGTTGACAGCTTCAAGCGGCGCACGCATTTCCGTATTCGAAACGCCTCCTATTTTTTGTAATAGTTTGCAAATTAGATTTAGTGCAATGCGCACTCGATGACAAGATGCGTTACTTGGTTTCGAGTCGGCGAGCTTGGAGGATGCGTGAAATTGCTCTCAAAATCATTTGCCTACGAGAACAGGCGTAATGTCTTTAAAGTGCGTTAAATTGCTCAGCACAATCCGCTTTGTTTTATTCCTTTCAACGCTCCGTTGGCATTCAGACGGATTTAAAAAGAACATTTTAATCTCACTTCGCTCAGGCACATCAGCGTGCTGAAGAATAAATTAAATTAATCCAAAATTACTTGTAAATAATTTAGCAATTCTAATTACAAATTTTTGAATAAAAATAAGTTTTCCTCAAATTACTATTGCTATATAAGAAAATAATAAAATATATTGAGATGAAATAAGATTAATTTTTTTTTAAATATTACAGCAAATAAATTTAAATTGATTAACATAAATTTAAATGTTCTAAATAAAAATTGATGATCTTTTAAAATCTAATTAATTAATTAGGCACGTTTCCTGAGTTTCCTCTGTTAATTGGTTGGTGATTTATTTTTGGCACATATTAAAATTTTCTCACAACGAGATATACTTTTTTCAAGGTTGGCGCATCCTGCTCTTCTGTGCAATAAAACGATTTGCCTCCAATTAACGGTGCTATTTGTTTTCAGACCGAGCGAGCTGCTGGCCCTTCTGGCCCTGTCGACGACCCTGTTCCTCTTTCTGCACACGCGCGACCTGCAAGTGAAGCTCAAGGAGATGGAGACGAGGGCCACCGGCGAATCTGCCGCCTCCAGCAGCCGCGGCATCGCGTCCTCCTTAGCCGGTAAGTCGAACACAACCATTTTTCCATCGTTATTGCAATTAAAATAATTTCAAATGCTAATTATTTTTAAATAATTATGTTAGGGAGGAACTAAATTAAAAAAGAATAAAACCAGTTTTCTCTAAAATTAATTTCAAATGAAAATTTAAAAAAAAAATTATTATTTAAATAGTCCTTTTTTATCAATATAATAATAACAAAATAATTTTTAGTAAATTTGACATTTTTACAATGTCAAAATATTTTATTTTTATTTTCCACACCAATTATCTGGTTTTTTCTTCTCGTTAGTGGCTTTGGCAATTTTCGCCAAATAAGAACATGAGCCGCCAAGTGCAATTCGAAACCAGACAGTCGTGTTCGGCAGCCAACGAGCTTTCGGTTAATGAGTTTAGAATTACCCGAACTCACCCCTTACAAGAGACATGTGACTGGGGTTCGAATGTCATGTCCGCGAATCGTTTGAAAGCATTTTATTGTCCGTTGCAAGTCTTAAATTGGTAAAAAGAACATTGATCTACATTCCGATTGCTTCACACTCGGGGCCTAATTATCCATCACGCAATCTCTCGCGTCCACACACAATAAACAAATCATTAAAGCGACTCGCCTGCCTCTTTATAAATATCTCTGCCCAGGTCTATTCTATAACAAATCAGGTGTTCTAAATACCTTCCTAAAAGGTAATTCAACTTTTACATTATCGCTCAATTAAATCTAATTGTAAAAGAAATTCAATATTGATCAACTGGAATTAATTATTTTTATTTATATTGAAATTAAAATACTCGCAGAAGATTTGGATTTAAAAGTTTTTATTTTAAATAATTTAAGACAGAAGAAATATTTAAAAATGAGTATATTTGAATTATTAACATGTTCCGCAAGTGCATTTTTAGCGGTCAACTAATTTGAGAAAGCTTGTGTATGGAAGAGTTTCTTTGTTTGACAGATTGCATTTTATCATTATGATGTGTTTTCCCTTTAAAAGTCTGTCTATAGAATTTGCCATGGCGCGTGTGTTGGTTATCAAAGTGTGGCGTGAGTTGCATAATACGCGCCGAAAATTGAAGGCTCTCATCCAAGTTAGTAGAGCTGATGGCGCGTCACGCTTCATAAAACACACTCACATGCTGCACTCTATAATAATAAATAACAATACGTGGAATCTAACTGCTTATTAAATTGTCTCTTAGAACTGTTGAAATCTCATCAAATCCATCACAAATCTGATTTGAAAATAAAAATCTAACTAATTTTTCCAAATTATAAACAATTGAAATTGAAATTAATTGATTTTCCTTTCAAATATCTCTGCAGAATTTTATATTTGTGTTGAAATTTTTTATTTTTTTCTACACTTTTGGCCTTGTAAATTTGGAAATGAAACCAGCAATAATTGAATAAAAACTTTTATGCTATTATTGCACCTTTGAAATGTGTGAAATTATATATCATGATATAACAACGCGCAATTCAATTTCTCTTCTCGTCGCGGTTTGTTTTACAATTCAAAGCCTGGGACCATTCGCAGTGATATCATTTTCCACGAGCAGATTGGCGCAATATAATAATTAACGAATACACGCCGACAATAAAAACGGACTTCCTAATGGAGCCCGCGGCACTTCCTGGACTTAATCCTTTCAATACCAACGTGAGTCTGCTGCACATCTCGCACCTGTTGCTCTGAAAAGGAAGAAAGTTTTTTACTTTCTTGCATTGATTTTGAAATTTCTTGATTAGCAATTGATGATGGTACGGAATGGCCGCCGCGTGGCCCACATTCGACCTCACTTTTGCTGGACACTCGGCTGATGCACGCGAAATAGAGAAAGGCGCGTTGCAATTCAAACTGGAACACGAATAACAACTACAGTTCACTGAGCACAATCAATTTATTGCTGCAGATGCAGACGTTTCGATTCGAAGAGACGCACAATGAGAATAAAAAAAACGCCTGATTTCGCTCTTTCTTGCGCACAGATTCGCTCTCTAATTCTATTTTAACAGTTTTTGTTTCAATTCGAATCAAGTACTATAATTTATTTGATAACTTTTAATTTCAATTTCTATGAAGAATTAAGTGTTTTGAAATCATGAAAACTCCAAAAAAAGGTTTGTTGCTCAGAAAAGAAGCCATTTTTAGATTAAAATGTTAATTTGACAAGTGGGAGTTTAATTTTTTTTATATTAGTTAAAAACAAAACAAATAGTGATGAATTTTGCTCTCTTGTATGTAATCAGGAGGAAACAAAAACTTAAGGACAAACAGCGGTTTCACGCAATTTTCACACGCCCTCTGATCACAGTAAAAAATGGAACCAATAGACCGAGATTTTTAATGCAAAAAATTGCAAACCGCGAAGGTCGATTAAGCTCTGTCGAAATAAAATTTGCCGAACAATCACGATTCACAACCTTTCAACTGGAAAGCAAATCTGCTCAAATCAATTCGCCTCCTAATTGCCGCCGACCGAGAAGAAAGGTGAATTTCACTCGGGCATTTTAATTGGAATAAATGAACGGTATTGAGGAGAATGTCCTCTCTTTCTCTCTTGGGTAAATTTATGAAGAGGGTGGAACAATAAGTTGAAAAATTATATTTGAGATAGCGAGCGAGTGGAAGAAGAAGTGGTTCAACCAGTTTGCTGCTCACAATGTGGAGCGCTTATGGATCTCGTTTGTGTATATCTTGGTGTGTCATCGGAAGAGGAACGAACTCCTCCTTGCTTTCGTATGGATTTGTGCAGATAAAGTTTGGAGTTGTCACATCCTCTGTGTCCTAAATTTGCTCCACCATATCAAGTTCCTGCACGTGAAGTTTTAGAAAGGAAGGAAAAAAACGAAGAGTTATTTGTCTTGTTAAAGAAAAGCCAAAAGAATACGAAACAAGATTTTATAAATTTTAAATTGAAAAAGAACTAAAGTGTTACATTAAATGTTTTTATTTTAATTCAAATTGGCAAAATTTATAACTATAGAAAGCCTTTAAAAAGCACAGAGCTAATCAAAATGGTCTTGAATTAGTCCAAAAATTAAACATTTAAAATTAAATTCTTGGAAGTAAAATTAAACAAATTAATATTCTTTAATTCAATCAATTAAAATGATGGTGTAAAGAAATTAAATGTTTAAATTTAACAACAACTGATGACTTACTGACTCGGTTTCTAAATCTAAAGAACTGAAGCAATAAACTTATCGTAATTTAATTGCCCATCGAAAGCGGCTTTGTTCTTTCATTGCAAGCAGAGCAAATCTCCTTTCTCCATATATGCGTTCAAAAAAGAAGCTTCTTCCTGCAGGTCAGTCTGCACAAAAAACTCAGTGAGGTCTACACACAAAAACTCTTAAAAAGAAACTCGGCTGCTAATCAATTACCTCCAGGGGAAGGAATGATTAAACAAAAAAAGGACAATTGCTGTTTAAAAGGGAAGAAGCATTAAAAATTGTGTTGTACCTGAGAAAGTAGGCTGGGGAAAGGAACAAAAGGCGGGTCCCTCATGTAAACGCCGAAACAAGAGTGACCATGCACGCGTTGCACTAACGGGACCGGCTTTTGAACCTTAGACTCGTCGTTTTTTGAATAATTTATTTACAATTGAGGTGTCTCGGAACTTTCCATCCTTCTTGCTTCGAGAGGATTATTTAACCTGCTTTTCGGCGACTTATGTAATTTGTTCACTACCAAGGTTGTCTGCTCGTTTTAATAAACGACGGATTTCATCCTCTTATCAGATGGAGCTTTCAAAAGAGAAAGAGCTTTCTTTCGCCCCGAGAGACCGGATTAACCAAAGAGCCTATCTTATTAAAAATTCCTTCGCCCAAAGTAAAAAAAGAATCAAGGATTAATTAAATATCCAGCAGCACCTTGGGTTTTAGATATTAAAAGATGTTCAGCAGTAAAAGTTGGGTGTGACTTGCAAATTTTAAGTGCAATTACAAGCAGGAATTATGCTGGATGAATGCAAAGTGACAAGAAAAGTAAACATGAACTCCAAGGGCAACGGCAGCGAAACACAATGGAAACATTTCGGGCCAAAAGAGGTTCACGTCCTCCGACTGCCATCAAAAGATCCACTCCTTGTGTGCGTGGAATTTAAATTAAAAATGATTTAAACTGTTCCCTATTTATTGCAAAAAAATTATTTTCTAGTAAAATAAATTAAATTACTAAAATTTATTCAAAATCAGATCCAGAATAAAATGAAAATGGCTGTTTCATAAGATTAATTATTATGATATTAGGCTGAAGTAATAAATAATTTTTTTTTTTAAATTTGCTTTAAAAGTTTCTCAAGCAAAATAGGTCATTAATTGGTGTTTTTAAGGTGAATAAAAACAGAGGTTAATTTTTTTTTTAAAATTGCAATTCATTGACATTATTTGCTATATTCACAATCTTTGCTAATAAAAGCGATTTTTATAATAAAGTTTTCGCTCTTTATTTATAAATAAATAAATATTATATTTAAATTCTTATGAATAAATATAATTGTAAATAGATCATGAAATTTGGAAAAGACTTGAAAGAATCTGTTGATGCGCCATGAAACGGAAACACTCAATCTCCAGTGGCAACAATTAACTAATTAGTCTTGTTTCTTTGAGCACACATTTTTCAGCGGCCTCATCAATTTTTGCCTCGTCCCGTTTCTTTGTAGGTAACAAGACGACTACCGTAACGTTCACATTGAAACAAGTTTTTTATTGTACTCAAATTTCCGCTTTTGTTTTTCTTGCAACGAGAAGTGTCGCCGACGCAATTTGTCTTTTTTTTTCACATCACGGTCGGCTGGGAAATTTTTCACCAAACGTGACTAATTTCGCTTTGCATTTAAATTATAAAATTATTATAAACAAGCAGATTTATTCTTGAATGAATAAATTATTATTATTTTGCAAAAGGATTTCAGCGACTGAACGGGTGTTTGTCTGCGCAAGTGACACGTTGAAATTAGCATATGCCAGCAAAGAGTCCTTGTCTCATGACGATT